ACACTATTTATCTGGACGGTTGAACTTTGCTACTGCATTCCTTGTTTACTCTGACTATAATAACAAAGTTATTTTTGATAACAGTGATTCATTAACCATCAACTTTTTTTTTTGTCTTATAAGTTACCACACACGCACACTTTCCAGCAAAGGGGGTCACTGGATAGCAAACAGGAACAGGACCCTCGCTTAGAGAAAGGAATGTGCTAAACTATCAGAAGAGCTGCTTTTGCTTTTTTGAAGGACAATTTTCATGGGAGATTGTCGGCTCTTCCTATAATTTACGACTGCAAATGATGAAAGGAAAGACAGTCCTAAAAACAGCATGACTGCACAGGGACGTTAATGGGCGGCAGCCGAGTGATTCCCTTGGAATTGTAAAAGGCAGTTAGTAGGCGGTTTGATGTTATTTTAGTCCAATTTTACCCCTCCCTTTGATATTCCAGCCCACTCCTTGGTTTGAAGAGCCAGTGGTTAGTGCCCTCGCCTCACAAGCGAGAGGACCTGGGTTCCATTCCCGGGTGGGACGAAACCTTAGTCAAGTTTTTCTACTCCACACACCTCAACGACATGATAAGGTGCTATATCAAATGCAAGTATTATTATTATAGCATGCACAGGATCTGCCCCAAACCTGGCCAATGCTTTCAGTCACTGCTCTGAAGCTGTGGAACTCTCTCACTCAATCCCTTTGCTTTGCCCCCTCTCTCCCCATTTTCAGGTCACACTTGAAGATCTTGCTCTTCGACCGTGCCTAGAGTCATTTTCTCCCTCTCCCTGGCTTGACATCAGGCTTTGTCACTGTTAAGTGCTCCGAGATGCTGTCCAGCGTGAAGAGCACTATATAAACGCAAATTGTTGTTATTTGTTATTCCTGTAGCTCAGTGGTTAGAGCGCTCGCCTCTCAAGCGAGAGACCTGGGTTTAAATCCCGGCAGGGCAAAACCTTGGGCAAGTTTCCTTACTCCTCAGGCCTGATAATAATCCCTCAAGAAAAGAATAATAAACTGGTCACTTCAATCCACGACTGTTTGTGGGACACTGCCGCGCAATCAATTCACAATCAATTCACTTTACAGTATATTCCGTGAAATGCTTTGAGACATCTAGAAGATGTGAAAAGCGCAATATCAAATGCACATATTAATATTATTATTTGAGCATGAGAGTGACATGGATTTTATCAACCTCTTTCGCAAAATGCATGGCATTTAATGGTCTGATTTCTATTGCGCTGTATTTCTTTAATTATAGCTTAACGCATTCTCCAGAACCCCTCTATTCACAAGGAAAGAGTTAAATCTGAGCTTTTTCACACAGGATTTAACAAGGTGGACTGTCATTCACCATGAGGATTGTAATATACCTTCTCGATAATAATAAATAATCCTTGCATTTGATATAGTGCTTTTCACGTCTTCTCGACGTCTCAAAGCGCTTCACCAAATAGACTGTAAAGTGAATTGACTGTATATTTGTGGGCGAAACGCGGCAGCCAATTGCGCACAGCAGTGTCCCACAAACAGTCGTGGATTGAAAACGACCAATTTATTATTGTTTTGTTTTGGAGGGATTATTATTATTGATAGCCCAAATGAGATCACTCCGTTACGCAAGACACAAGTTTCTCACCATTTTCATTTTTGAGATTTACTCCAGTGACGTTTACATTGCTAATAGTAAACTGATCATGCTGCCCTCTGGTGGACAGACACAAATACACTCAAGTGCATCAGTACATCAAACAATTTGCGAGTGAGTGTACGCATTACCATAGACAAGACAAGGATTAAATAACCTGAGAATGTATTGAAGATATCAGTGTGCTTCTTAGAAGGTGCGTTCTGTTTGAATAAGCTATATTCTTATTTTTATGGGTTATGTAGGTTCCTACCCTCGATTCCTGAAGGGGCTGGGTAATGTTCACTGGTATGAACTGGCCTCTGGTTCTTTTTTTGTTGTGTGTGTGGACATCAGTAGGAGGGAGGGAAAAGCATCACAGCAGAACCCAATCTTTGTGGAGTTCTGTAGCGTAGTGATTAGCGCGTTTGCCTCGCAAGCGAGAGGACCCAAATTTGATCCCCAGGCAGGGCAAAGCCTTAGACAAGTTTACTTACACCAAACACCACTGTTCACCTAGCAGTAAGTAGGAACCTAGTTGTTAGTCGATTGGCGGATTGCTTTGCGGGGATAATAAGCCCCCCCACCCCCAAAAAAAATGTGATCACTCAATCCACAACTGTTTATGGGACACTGTGTGCGCAATTGGCTGCCGTGATTGAAGGAGAGAGTTTCCAAAGTTTTGGGGTGTAGTGAGCATGGACCAAGGTTCAGAATTGGTTTATGTAGTTCTTGTTCACACAAGGCAGGGGGAAGGAGGGAGCGAGATCCAAAAGAGAAGGTAATAAATTATGTAGCAAGAAAAAGCGTTTTGCATTGTGGCATTATTAGAATAGCATGTGACCTGTAGGGAATTGGGAAGTGGATTGTGGACCATGTCCCATTGCCTCCTTGTATCTTTACATCTGTCCATACACACTAAGATGCTGAAAGCCATTTGGGTGATTGAGGCGACTCAAGTGTTGGTCTATCTCTTGAACAAATAAAATTTCACCTTGAATAAATGAATGAAACCCACCAGACATTAGTGAGGAGTATACACCCATCACATCAAGTGTTTAACCACCTGCAGGAAAAAGTTCATTCTCAAAATGTTGTCAGTGTTTGCTCATTGAATGACTGAGTGACTTTATTTTTGTAATTAAAGGCCACTGACGCTGTGGAAAAATACAGGCATAGAGAAAATGATATCTGCAACTTGTAAACACAATACCACCAATTATAAGTTAGCTATAAATAGCTGATATTTATTTTAAACTACAGTATGTTAAACTTTATCGAACCCCTACAATCACATTGAAAATAACTAATAACGTTGTTTAAATTGTACACGTCTTGCAGTTGAGAAATGCTTATTGAGCAATGTCTGACCATCTTAAAAGGAATCAAATCAGATAGGGTGGGACATCCTTTTTCCCTCTCCTCCTCCCCTCACTCCCAATTGTTTAGGGGTAAATGTGTCACTTGGTAATGGTTCTGAGCCATGCAGATTAGGAAGATGTATATGTTATTTGTATGACATGTTATGTTCCTTGGAGCTAAATTGGTTCCAAGGGTGACATGCTTGGCAATGAAATGTGTGACTCATGTGGCGGCCTCGGTAGTCAGATCCTGAATCAAGCAGGTTCACAATACTCCAGGATCTGCTGATCACAGACTTGCTAGTTTAGCAGGACTTGGAGGGGCAGGGATTCTTCCCATTCGAATCCTGTTAATCTTGTAAAACAAAGCCCTAACAGGTCGAGTGGGCTGGACAAGCGAGAGGAAGCTTGCCAGACATAACAAGCGATGTGATTTTAGCAGCTAACTCCAGCAGTAACACAACGCACACTATAGGGTCCCCAATGCTTGCCTCTCGACAACCTGCATCTAATACTCTCCAGAATTAGGTAAAGCAGGGTGTGTCCCACCAGGAAGAGAGTGTGCTGACGCAAGGAAATTTCGACATGCACATGGAATACATACGTGGAACTCTCTTTGGTTTCAATGTTTGGTGATGGGTTTCCGCATGTGTTAGAAACACGGATGACTTAAAAAAATTAGCTCGTGCCCAGCTGTGATCTGTACCGAATTGGCTCATCTCAGCCTTAGCTCCATTAGCCTCAGCACCAATACGGTATTAAGTTTAGGTAACAGCTTCTGATTGGTTAACAGTGAGCTCACTCTTCACCATCCTTGCTGCAAATGTTGAAGCAGAATGCGTGAATTCTTTTAAAATGAAATGTGATGCCTGCAAAATAATTTTGAAGGAGAAAGATGATTGAGCAGGAAGGTGAGAAAGGTAGTTCAAGTGGAGAAAAATAGCAGGAGATTTGGACGAGCTAAACAACAATAATAATAATAATATTGTTTTATTGTTATGCATTTGTTACAGCTGGAGTTAACTGCTAAAATAAGGTACTATATCTAATCCTGTTGCAGTGTTGGAGGTGCCGTCCTTCGGATGAGACATAAAACCGAGGTCCATTTGCGTATTCATGTGGATGTTAAAGATCCATTGAAAAGAGAAGGAGGTTTCTCTCTCCTGGTGTCATGTGGCCAACAATCCCCCGAATAAAATTGGTCACTCACCCCATGGCTGTTTGTGGGACACTGCTGTGCGCAACTGGCTGCCGTGTTTCGTCCACAAAATACACAGTCAGTCCGCTTTACAGTATGTATGAGTTCAATTCCAGGCAGAGGGCGAAACCTTGGGCAAGTTTCCTTACTCCACACAGAGCCTAATAATAATCCCTCCAAAACCAAAAACAATAATAAATTGGTCATTTTCAATCTACGACTGTTTGTGGGACATTGCTGTGCGCAATTGGCTGCCGCGTTCGCCCACAAATATACAGTCAATTCACTTTACAGTGTGTTCTGTGAAGCGCTTTGGGACGTCCTCCCGACGTGAAAAGCGCTATATCAAATGCAAGGATTATTATTATTATTATATTATTATTATTATTATTATTATTATTATGTCCTGTGAAGCGCCTTGAGACGTCTCAGCGACGTGATCAGGCAAATCGTCAAATATCAAACGCCAGGATTTTTGTTTCGGTGGTTCTTCATTCCGAATGTCATTCATAGAAATTTTTGTACACAGAAATTCAGCCCACGCCGGGTCTGCGTCGCTGCCATCTCTGCTTTCTCTAAATCCTATCCTCCAGCTCTCTCTCTCTCTGTGCAAATATCTCCACCACTCCCCCAGTCCAGGTTGACAGACACGCTCTGCCTGTCACTCTTGTCCTTGTCACTCTCCCTCCTCCCTCCCCCCCCCCCCAGGTGAGGGCAACTGCCGTGAAGAGCGGCTTCAGGCGGAAAAGTGTCGTGAAGTGTCGCGAGGCGGCGGAGTGGAGCCACGTCCCGCTCCGCTTTGCGGCAGCCGCATCTTGCCCCAGGAAGATGGCGGACGAGGGGCCGCGGGAGGCGGTGGGCGGCGGCGGCGGCGGCCCCGACCCCCAACAGGTCGTCAGGGTGAGTGCCGACCGGCGAAATCCCACTCTCCCAAACTGTGTCACCGTCACCTCGGGGTGGGGGCCGCGAGGGGAGAGGACAGGGAATACCACGGGCCCCTGACCGACCATCCGCCCCCCCCACCACCCCCCACCCACCCCGGGGGCCCTGGTAACCGCTCACTGGTCTCTGGTGTTGTTGGTGTGGTGTTGTTCTGGGCTGTGGTGGGAGGGGAGGGGGAGAGTGGAGAAGAGATAATAATAATAATAATAATAATAATAATAATAATCCTTGCGTTTTATGTGGCGCCTTATGATGTCTTTTTGATTCTCAAAGCCCTTCGCAGAATATACTGTAAAGTGAATTGACCGCACGTATATACACTTTAGCAAACAGTAAACATTGTCTGTCTTTAAATTATCCTCAAAACCCCCGGTTAGCTTTTGTTGTCGTTGTCCCCCCCCGTCCCCGTCCCTCGAGTCCCCGGTTTCTCAAAGTGTCCTGGTATGTGATATGGACTTTTAATAACAATAATAATAATAATCACACTTAGATTTGATGAGGGACCTTATCATGTTGTTGCGACGTCTCAAAGCACTTCACGGCGTATACTGTAAAATGGGTGACTGTGTATTCTGTGGGTGAAACGGGGGAGTGAGAGAGAGAGCGCGAGGGATACGATAAATTGTGATTATCCAGAGAAAAGTGCTTCCTTCTTTCCTTTTGAAAAGTTAGAGAATCTTTGCAGAAGATCTGACATTTGGATTCAATGGCTTGTTGACACTGTTTCAAATAAATCCACTTTCACTTTCTGCGGGACATCTTTGATTTGTTTCCTTAATTTGTTTATATTTGTTTAAGAGATAACTTGATATCATGTTTTTAAAAGTTTCCATTTATTTTAGCGCTTAGAATTGTTAAAAGAGTTTTCCTCTGACTGAAAAACAGATGAAACTTCTGACAATTGCTTAAAAATAGTGATTTCATTGGTAGGTATTATTTTTGCAGCTGCCTTCGGGTTCAACAACAACAACGTTGCATTTGTATAGTGCCTTTCATGTCGGGAGGACATCCAAAGGCGCTGGACAATCAGTGTTTCGGACCTGAGATGGGGGTCGGGATTGGGGAGGGTGGGAAGGAGGGATGGAAAGAGGGACGACTGAAGGCACAGTTGAAGAGGAGAGTCTTGAGACGGATCTTCGGTTAATGTAAGCAGAAACAACTACTTTGAGGGAGCTGTAATTGAATTGGCCTGCAATTAATTCCAAATGTTATTTGACAAGAGTGGGCCTTTTGTCCCTGAGTATGCATTTATGCTTTGAGATTTCTGATTAGGAACAACCTGGAATAATTTTAGGTAGCCATTTCCCTGCTATAAAGTAATCAGAGGTGAGCAATATCTTGAACGTGGTCATGATGTTACAGGTGTACTCAAAAGGACAAGTGCCTATTTTAAAAAGCTTCCATACCTGTTTAGGATATCCAACTAGAAACAATTCAAGACCGTGGCAAATTAAATTAATTTTGTATATGAGGTACTCACTTGTGAGAAAAATTCTCTGGTTGCTATCCAGTGACCCCTTTTGAAAAGCCTGTGAATACAGACAATGAATCAGGCCGAGCTTGGCTATGATTCCTTTTGCAATCGAATAGTCTGACAACACTTGTCAGACAAAACTGGGCTCGCATAGTGAATAATGTGTATGGTACTTATATTTGGTACCAGAACAACATCCCTGCAAAAGTCAGCACCTCCCAAAGGAGGTGGAACGTATTGTCTGTGGTGGGTGGAATGCAATACAAATCTGAATTGCAGCAGAATGTACCTACATATCTAATAAAAACACCTTGTAATATGTCCCCGATCTGATTATGAAGTACATAGATTGTTTGAAGTCTTTTATTGAATTGAGTACACTTAGGTTCCTGTGGTAATCACTTAATTAAAGCTGTGTTTATGATGAAAGGTCACTTACCATTCCAGCCTTGTGTTTTTGTATTGGATCAGCTGATGTGGGAAAGTTTATACCGACCCAGGGATTTTGATTGACACCGCTGAACTGTGCATGCGGCTATTAAGAGGAGGGAATTAGGTTCACAAGTCCACCTTGATTGACATAGTCTAAATTCTTCCATACCTCTTCCAAATTGGTGCAATACTGGTGTAATTCTTATCTTGTGCTGGTTCTCCCAATTAGTCAGGTTAATTTTTGCCTGTTGCTGTAACAACAACAAGATTAATTTGTATAGCGCCTTTCACGTCAGGTGGACGTCCCAAGGCGCCGGACAGAGTGCAGCATTTCAGACCCGAGCTGGGTTTGGGATGGTAAGGGAGGAGAGGGGAAGGGGGATGGCTGATGGCATGGTCGAAGAGGAGGGTCTTTAGGCTGGACTTGAAGGAGGCTAAAGAGGGAGCGAGGCGGAGTGACTTGGTATGGAATTCCAGAGGTTGGGGGCAGAGTGGCTGAAGGCTCTTCCACCAATGGTGGGGCGGGTGGGTCGGGGGACGTGGAGCAGGCCAGAGCCGGCTGACCGGAGGGAACGGGCGGGTTGGTAGGGGGTTAGGAGGTCGCAGAGGTAGGATGGGACGAGGCCATGGAGGGCTTTGTTTGTGAGGACCAGGATCTTGAACTGGATCCTCTGAAGGATAGGGAGCCAGTGGAGTCGGGCGAGAGTGGGGAGATGGGGTCATCGAGTTTGGTGCGGGAGAGGACACAGGCTGCAGAGTTCTGGATTATCTGTAGCCTGTGGAGCGAGGAGTTGGGAAGGCCGACAAGCAGGGCGTTTGTATAATCGAGCCTGGAGTGATGAAGGCATGAACAATTGTGGACTGCGAGATAAACAAAGTGGTGGTAGAAATGTCATTACAATTCCTAGTGTTTTAGAATCTTAGTTTGATTACAAAGGATTATTCTCAAGTTTCAAAATCCTCCCTTACCTTGATACTAATAAGGAGTAGTTTATGAATTGAAGTGAAATGCTGCTACTGGTTTGGTATGGACAGAACTGAAGAGTCCTGAGATTTCCTTTTGCACTTTACTGAAAAAGAACATTTATTGGGTAGGTTTGTATCCTGATGATTTGCCACAGTAGATGGAGCACAGGATAACTTTTGAGCTTTTCATTCTTTCTCTTCCCCACCCCCCATTCACCAACACCTCTATGTCCACAAGGTATGGAGCAGTTGGTTAGCATACTGTCCTCATGTCTCTCGGCCTTGAGCTCAAATTCCAGGTCAGACTGTATGGGAAGATCTGTTAGAGGTCAGGGCATGGGAAGAAATCCAGAATGAGACGTGGGAAATGGCTTAAAAAAATATATAAATTGGGAGTGTTTGGCACAGTTCAGATTTCTTGGACTGGATCATTGCTGACACTAGGATCCTAGACACTAGAGTTTCACTGGCGGGTGGGTCGGTAACCTGTGGACACCGATTTAAAATAGTTGTTAAAAGAAACAGAGGGGAGGTGAGGAGAAATTGTTTCACACAACAAGTTGTTCAGATCTGGAATGCACTGCTTGAAAGGGTGGTGGAAGCCGATTTGATAACAACTTTTAAGAGAGAAGTACAACAACAACAACAAAATTAAATTTATAGAGCACCTTTCACGTCAGGAGGACGTCCCAAAGTGCTGTACAGTCAGATGTTGGCGCCCAAGCATGGGGGAAGGGGTGGTGTAGGTGTGAGGGAAGGCAGAGAGGTGGGAGGGCGACCAAAGGCGTGGTCGAAGAGAAGGGTCTTGAGACCGGCCTTGAAAAAGGAAAGGGAGGAGGAGAGGCGGTGGAGGAGGATTGAGTGGTCCATGGTGTCAAAGGAGGTGGAGAGGTCGAGGAGGCAGAGGGAGCCCTGGTCACACATGGTCAGGATGTCGTTTGTGATCTTGACCAGAGCGGTTTCCGTGCTGTGGGCAGCAAGGAAACACGATTGGAGGGGTTCATGGAGGGAGTGAGAGGAGAGGAAAGAGCGAAGCTGGGAGGCAATGGCTCTCTCAAGGACCTTGGATAGGAAGGGGAGATTTGAGATGGGCCGGTAGCTAGAGAGCTGTAATGGGTTGAGGGAAGGTTTTTCAAGGTGGAGGTGATAATGGCTGTTTTGAGTGGGGAAGGAACAAGTGCCAGATGACAGGGAGAGGTTAATGATATCGGTGAGTAGTGAGGCAAGGAGGTGGAGCTGGAATTTAAGGAGAGGGATAGGGATGGGGTTGAGGGAGTAGGTGGTGGACTTCATGGATGTAGATAATTATTCGGAGAGGACAAGTATGCAGAACAACGAGGAGAGAGTGGGGGAGTGGCTTGCTTTTCCCCTCCAGCACCCTGTCTGAGATCAGCTAAAACAGCAGTGATAGGATACGCTAAACTTTCTGTTATGAAAGACCTTGTGCCTTTACCTACTAGGCCAGCACAGGAGCTTGAAGCTTCCCCCTCCCCAACTTAATTTTGTTTTCTTGAATTTAACCTATTGGATTTGTTACCTCATTACCCCAAATTATACTTTTACTTTTGAGTTTTGAGTTCACTCAGCTGGGATTCTTGCAGTGTCTGGTTCTTCAAACAAACATTTCAGTTGCCTTCACTCTATAAATGTTGCTCCATTCTTTGTCTCTGATCGGAGCTGCATGTTAGCTATATGTTAACTATAAAATGGGATCCTATTATAATTGATAATTCTTAAATGATTTCATGATGATCTATGACAAGCTGGGATTTGAATCCAAGGCTCAGATGGCATTCACATGCAGGCTTATATCTTATTTTCTGATCCACCCAGATTCTTGTGTACCAGGTATGCATGTAATGTGTTGCTTGGCCTGGAGGTTAGCAGCAGGATCAATGCATTTTTCTGCAAGTAAGCAGAATCCAAAACCGGGGTCTGTGCTAGATTTCATTTCAGCACATTTCTCTCACCATTGGCTTGCCTCAGAGTAGGCTGTGCCAGTGTCTGCACTGTATATTCATACAGTGATGCCTTGAGCTGAAGAGGAGTTTTGAAGAAGAAACAATATTTTGCTCCAGTTTTGTAAACTGGATGCTCTAAATACCAAGATTGCTGTTTATTATAGTGTCATTTTTCACTGAATATAATTTCCAATGAAAATGTGAATTCCTTTTTTTAATCAGCTGGATTGACACGTGGAAACCCATTTTGAGAATATCAAAATCAGTTCTTTGGTTTGGGTGTGAGTGACATGTTTTTATTATTTCTCTTGTAAACCAGTTCCCCCTAGCCAGGCTTTTTAAAAAAATACTGTATTCAAAAAACCCTCAGTGCTGATGTTCAGATGTAAGCAGTGCAGAATTTTCAAAGTGAAGGAGATGTTCTTGTGTTGGTCGTAAAAGTGTTGTGCATCCCACGGGTGGGATGTAAGTTTCTCCTGGTCTTGACATTTTTTAAATTCAACGTCATTGTTCCTTCAAAGTGTTCTTTCATGCATCCGTTTTTAATTTTGCTCATGTTACACATCTTTGAATCCATCTCCTTTGAAGTCGCTTTTAAAAAAAGTGCAATATTTGTTTCAGTGTAAACCTCTAAACCTTTATTCAGCAGAGCATATTCAGCTTTACTTTTAATCTATGAGGGCATAAATACAATTGTATTGTACAACATGATTCCTAACAATGTTCTTTTTAGACTTCTGAAGGGTGTGTTAACTGGAGCAGAGACACTTGAGTTCTTTTTCTCCCACAAAATATGCAATCAATTTACTTCACAGTATATTCTGTGAAGCACTTTGAGAGCGATAAAGTGCTATATCAAATGCAAGGATTATTATTACTGATGTAGGTTCTCATAATGAGGGAAGCACAAATGATGTATGTTAGCCTTCCACCCGGAAAGAGAATTCTGAACGGCAATAAAACTGGAGCTGATCCAGTTAATAGTGAACTCAGAAAACAGTTCTTCATGAACAGGATTGAAAGAATGTAGAATCCATTGCCACAGAAGGCACTGATCCAGATTCATTTAAGGCAGTGGCGGCCAATCTTTTGGTTGGCTGAGAAACTTTTCTTGATGAATACTTCTTTGTGCCATAAATCAAGAAATATTCAATCACAGGTTGATCACCACTGATTTAAGATGTTTAAAAGGGGGCAATAATAATAATCCTTGTATTTGATAGCGCCTCATCACATCATCGAGACATCTCAAAGTGTTTCACAGAATTGACTGTATATTTTGTGAACAAAACATGGCAACCAGTTGACATGTTTGATCCACAAACAGTTGTTGATTGAGTGACCAAATAATTATTTTTAATTATTGTTTGAAGGGATTATTACCCTTGGAAATCGATCTGCCAATCGACTAACAACTGGGTTCTTAATAATTGCTAGGTATACAGAAGCATCTGGAGTAAGGAAACTTGCCTAAGTTTCGCCCTGCGCAACAATCAAAATTGGGTCCTCTCGCTTGTGAGCAATACATTGCAGGACACTACGATGTGTTGAAACTTGGTAAATCAGCGTATTAAGGGATATGGAGAAAAGGCTGAGAAATGGGATTATAAAGATAAAGTGTTGCCATGCACTTGTAAAATAGCAGAACACGCTTAATGAGCTGAATGCCCCAGTCCTATGACTATGTCCGTTGCAGAATTATGATATCTGTATTTTGTTTTGCAAAATTACTTTGCTATCAATTTGAAAACTGTATTAAGTACAGATTCCGTGGATTAGTTTGCTAAACACAGATTTCTGCTGTGGGTTCATTATCGGTGAACTGAAAGTTGTCTACCACCGTTATTTTAAGTAGGTGAGACAGAATGAAAGAAGTAACATTTATCTTTTATGACAAGTAGCAGTGGCAGCAACTAATGCAGTTTACCTTTCTTCACACAGAGCTGGCAGGAAGCTGTTGACTTGCGCTCGGTTGTGTATCGGCACCTATCGGAATATGTCCCTTCAATTCGTTGCGTAGTGTCAGTCGCCAAGTGTCCTGAGGAGGAGCAGGGACATCAAATGCTGCTTAGAACCATGGAGTGGTTCTTGTTTGGAGAAGCTCCGGAGGATGGTTTTGCGAAGCTGCAAGAAAACAAAAGTTCTTCGCAACTTTGCGGTCGTGTTTTCAAAGGCGGAGAGACTACATATTCCTGCCGGTAAGGGTCAGATAGCAAGGTGTTTCTGCTCACTTTGTTTGCTGCTTTTTTTTTCCCTCTGTCGTTTCTTCAGTCTTCAATTGTGTTTTTATGTCTGTAATAAATTGCTGTCGGATTATTGCTTTATGCAAAAAAATTGCCTCTTAACTATAAAAACCTATAGTTGTGTCTTCCATTTCAGAGGTCTGCAGGGTTGACCATATTGATATTTTCCATGATGACCCCTGTTGTAGTCATATCTTTAGAAAGCTTGCACCCGCTCCCTTTGCCTGTTCCATGTCCACAACCCTACTTGCCCCACCAGCAGCGAACGGGCCTTCAGCCTTTCTGCTCCCACCTATAGGAACTCTGTATCTATGGGTGCAAGCGAGAGACCTGGGTTCGATTCCCGGCAGGGTGAAACCTTGGGCAAGTTTCCTTACTCCACACGCCTGATGATAATCCTTCAAAAACAAATTGGTCACTTTAATCCACGACTGTTTGTGGGACACTGCTGTGCGCAGTTGGCTGCCGCATTTCGCCCACAAATATACAGTCAATTCACTTCACAGTCTATTCTGTGAAGCGCTTTGAGACGTCTAGAAGACATGAAAAGCGCTATATCAAATGCAAGGATTATTATTATTATTATAACTCCATCCCACAGTCCCTTTGCCAGCTCTTCTGAATGAGTAAAATGTATACACCCACAGAAGGGAGAGAAGTATTTGAAGCATTCTGTACAGAATTAGTACAGTAACAGGAAAAGCAACACACTAGCAATTGGTAACTGCAACTAACCCCTTTGTCAAACTGTTTAAATGGCTGTTTATGCAAGTTAAAGGCTGCAGGAAATCCAGTGTCATAATCACAGGGAGTTAAAATTTCAGAACGTTAGTGGTCAGACCAGAGACAACCAGAAAGGAGGGGCGAACATACAAACATTCTTAGAAGTTTATTGCTGCACTATGTCAAAAACTGCGTTGGATTTAAGTATTTAACTGTCCATTTGATCAGTAACAATGTAATCTTCAGTGATTATTAAATAGTTTATTCTATAGCTAGCTTTGAATCTGTGTTAACATCTCAGCCCAGTAATAATAATATGAAAAAGGAGCAGTGAGAACAGTTACAGATGGTTAAGGGAGATGAATCTGGTTCCACTCCATTGATCAACTTGGCTCCTGTTTGCGACTTCCTTCTCTTCACTCCTAATCCACTTCCTCTCACTGTACCCTGGGAGGTAGAAGTATTAAGGGCTATGGTAAAAGAATGGGGCGTTTGGATTAAGAGAGCTGCTTTCAGGCCGAAGCACCACCCTATCTATCTCTGATCTGATCGCACCCCACTCTGTCCACTCTCTGATCGGCTAACACAGACTAAGAGACACAGTGTGTCTCTTGCTCCCTCCATGCCTTTACGTCCCTAATCTCTGGAAATCCCTGCCTCCATCCATCTGCCTGGACCCCTCTATTTATCAACCCAAATTTAAAATCTACGATTTTCTCCGGGCCTATAGTCATTCTTATAGTCGTCTCTTCCTGTCCTGTACATTCCTATATCATGTTGGTGTATGAATGCTTCAAAAGAAACCTTCATTGCTGGAAGTTTGTAGTTAGTGGGTCCTGTTTTTATTCTGCAAATAGTCACACACAGTATGTGCCTCAACAAACCAGTGACTAATTGTTTTACAAAACTTTCTTTTCTGCAGTGTATGTTTGAAATGTTTGCATGTTTCCATTAAAAATTTTGCATCTCCTATAATGAAAACAGGTATCACCAAAGTATATGGGGTGCTTATAGAAGCACAGGAACAAGTGAGTCATTAACTCTTGATGTCTAATTTGCATTAAGTCTATGATACAACTTATTTCTCCACTTTCTCCATACCCCGTAACATTATTAGTTTGTCTACAAAATAAACAGCAACTCCATTTTATAAATTTGAGTTGTCCTCCTGATATGAAAAGTGCTATATCAAATGTAAGGAATTATTTATTACTATCACCACTGTAGCTAACATTTCTCTTGCACACAAATACCTCAATCGAATCTGTATCCATGGCCTTCTGAGGCAGTCCATCCCACATCCTCAAAAATCTTTGTATAGGGACACATTATCTGAATGCCCCTTTCATCAGCTAATCTTTACTTTTAAGCTTAAGGAGTGGGTTGATTGCCATTTCAGAGTATTCATATTTTCAATTCAGTCTTAAATAGGTCCCTGCAACCTTGCTGTGTGAATAGATATCAATAATAATAATAATAACCATAAAGGATGGTATTTGTCTAGCTAGGATTGCTGGTAACTTTGAAGGATTTCGCTAGCAGAATTGAAAATGTGTCTTCTCCCAATCAGCCATTGACACTGAATTATTATAAACCTGCAAAGTCTCTTCCATTGCTGCTGTAAACTGATCATTATGCAACATGCACGAGAGCACCTTGGGATGTCCTCCTAATGTAAAAGGTGCTATACAAATGTAATGTTGTTGTTGAGAGACTCCAATTTGTTTTTTCTCCTATGTGGAAAGCACGTGAACTTCAGTTGGCATCTCAAAGCAATGTAGTTATTGCTGGGAACCTCAATGCATCAAGATCTTCCTCACACCGTACGTGCTCCAGTGATTTGCCCAGACTTTCAGTCCAAAAAGAAAATATGAAGCATGGTTGACCATGTTACTTTTGTACTGTAACAAGATGTTTTAATAAAGCTTCATAAAACAGGAAAAAAAATCACTGAAGTAATTGTTTCACAGTGATCTTGTCAAGCTGCAGAAGGGGCCTCACACTTTATTATATAGGACTCTGTGGGAAATTCATTCAAGCATAATCATAATTTTTCATCTCTTTGAGCCAAGAACAGAGCGGTGCTGTTTTCTAATTACAATTATGCTGAGTCAGCTCTTCGGTGTCTGGCGAATTGTAATTATGTCACTAACATGAGTAACGTTACCTCCAAAAGATATTTGGAACAATTTTGATCCTTTTCCTCCCAAACCCCAGGCCCCCCACTTCTGAGACAACTGACTTGCTGAAATCCATGAGTTGATTTCTCCACTGAGCAGTGGTGATGTTTAGCAGATCATTTGGCAGCCAAAATCATCACATCTGAAATTTATACTCATGCACTTTCCAGAAGAGGTTACCGAATAGTGATGAGGAATTAAAGTAGTTTCTCCCCCTACCACCCATCCCACAGGTACTGAGGCAAATTGTAGTTTCCCCAAATGTTGAATCCAACAAATAGACTAGGAGTTGTTACTGGAAAAGGAGGAACAATTGGCGGAGTTAGGTCCAATGAGTAAGATAGCAGCTGCTCAATGGATTGAGATGCCTCCTTCAATGCTACAATTTTTGTGATTTATGATTAAGAAAGATGTATCCAATAAAATGTCAAATTCTAACAATATATTTTCACTAATTACAGAGACTGTGCAATAGATCCCACATGTGTGTTGTGCATGGACTGTTTCCAAAGCAGTGTTCACAGAAATCATCGATACAAGGTACTGTCTATCTACTTCCTGTTATTATTGGATGTAAAGGCAAAGTTTGGGTTGATGTTTGTAAAACTAATTTCAATGCTAGGATTTATTATTATTACTTTCACTTATGTATAGAACATTTGTCAAAAGTGCAATTTTGTTCAAGCTAATACACTCGTGTTTTTAATATAAAACAGAAAATACCCATTGTGTTGGGTTTGCATCAGCAGTTTTTCCAGGGCTGAGAAATGACAGCCAAAAATTTATCCACTTGTCGAGACCTATTGCATTCCTCCGTGTACTGATACTAACAGTGTTCAGCCTCACTGACTGACAGGTATCACTGTTCATCCATGTCTGGCAGAGAGCAACAAAGGATGTTTTTAAATATCCTGTGTGCACATCTGTGCCATGATTCTTTATAAACAGCAGGAGTATTTTGTTCTAATTATTTCTCCTCCATTAACTGGTTTAGACAGTTAACAGAGAAGCCTAATTTTCAGCCAAAGCTGAGCTTTTGATGACTTGACTTTCACCACTGTCATTGTTGGGGAAACTGAAGTCACAAGATCACTAGATTGGTTCAGATGAAGAAGACCATTGGGCCCACTTGATCTCGTCCTTACAGAATACTCACCCTCCTGCCCCCGCATTATAGTATCAATGATGGTCACTTCTAACCTCAGATCCTCTGCGCTTGTTGCTATAACCGATTCCTGAGTTGACAGCAATGGACTTTTACTGTTTTGGACTAACTGTCTCATGCTGTAAATGATGATCAACGGTTTGAGAAGCAGGTCTGCATTTCCAGTCTGCATCTGGAGCACGTAAAGCTTGTTATTAGCAGACCACCTTGTGACTCCCAGTTAAAAGCTATTCTGAACAGTGCTCTGGTGAGTAATTATAAGAACATAAGAATTAGGAGCAGGAGTAGGCCATTCGGACCCTCGAGCCTGCCCCGCCATTCGATAAGATCATGGCTGATTTTCAGACCTAACTCTAATTACCTGCCCTATCCCCGATTGAGTTCTCACTACCACGCAGTGTACTTAACTCCTGAGGACTGAGCAGTTGCTTTGACAGTGTTCATTTTTAGCTTCTTTTTAACAGCTAAAGATGTAATTTTACTGGGCCACCTTTTGCTGTTGGATCCTGGACGACATCTACTCTCCTGCACTGATCATTGTTTAGCATGTTGGCTGTGTTTCTCTGAAACAGAGTGATAAAGATTGATAGTCGTAAGCAGCTATATCCCTCTACTTGACAATCTTGTGTAAAACATCCTGACAGAGACTTACCATTCCAGTTCCCTCCTACCTTATCTAATAACAAGCTGAGATCACAAAATTACTTTGTGGGAGCTATAGGTGTGATCCTATATCCTACTGTTTTGTGTTGGAGCATTGCTGCTCTTCAATAACTGCTGCAATGTTGTGCTTTCCTATGTTTTTAAGAACACAGTACAAGTGACCGTTGCTGTAAAGATTGTAAACAGTGTTTACTTCTATGTATTGCAGATGAACTGTTCATACGGAGGAGGGCTTTGTGACTGTGGAGATGTGGAAGCCTGGAAAACTGGCCCATTTTGTACAAAACATGAGCCTGGCTTATCAGAGGACATTGTGGTAAGATGACTGTATGAATGCAAGTTGTTGCAGTTGTCTTGCAGTGGCACCTGGTGCTAATTGAGTATGCTAGCGCGATACAACTGCATTCTCATTCCATTGGCAGCAGCCTGACCTGTTCAACGCTGTGGAAAAAATAGAAAGCAATACAATACGAATTTGCATTTATATAACACTTTTCACGTTGGGAGGACAATATGTTGAATGTCCTCCTGACATCAAAGTGAGGATGTAAATGGAGCATCACAGTAGTTGAGTTAATTGGAGTTCAGAAAGGACTTGCCAGATCAGCTAATTTCTTTTTGCTCCTTCGTGGGATGTGGACAAAGCTGGCAGTTTCCCTGAGGTGGTGATGGTAATGTGGTAGTAGGTCCTCTCATTAGATCTCTCCAGTCCTTGTGGTGACACTGCTGCCAGAGTGGTATTCAATAGGTTGTTCCCAGGATTTTGGAAATTGGAGGAAGAAACTAAAAATACAGCTGCAAATATTGGAAATAGGAAACAAAACCCGCATTGCTGGAAATCCACAGCAAGTCAATCAGCATCTGCAGAGAAAGATATGTTTCATGTTGATTCCAAGCTCTGGTGAGGATTCTGTAGGTTGGCGAGAGGAAGTGTAATTTAAGTGTTGATTGAAGGCATTGTCAAAGATAAATATTTAAGAGGATTTTGAAGACCAGCAGAGAAACAATGCAAAGCGATTTGGGGAGAGGTTAGCAGAGTGAGTAGTGGCTGAAGGCTTAGCCAGTGAGGCTGTGTTGGAGTTCAAATAGTGGAGATGAACAGGGCTGGAGGAGATTGCAGAGGTAGAGGGACTGATAATTAATGCTTTGCTGAAAACTTTGTTCATATTTTAGAAGGGTATCTTTGCCTTATGATCTGCATCTTTCTGTTGATTGTTAGGTCTGTGGTTGAGTTTAAGCTTCCGCCTGGATCCTAATGATAAATTTCCAGCAAAAATGCGTTATTTAAATGCTTGTTCTCGGCCTAAAAAGAGCTGGCCAAAATATTGCCAGAAACCTTGGTCAGCGGAGAGCTGCTCATTCTGAACGGCGTAGAATGAGGAGCTGGTATTGGTTGGTACTTTGTTCTGAATTAGGAGATGAATCTTAAAGACATAGGATAGTAAGCTGCTGTGAAATGATACTGGGGAGGGAGAGCAAGTTTAGTTCCTTCATGCTGCTGAATTCAGTGCATTTCTGCGAACGAGTTGAACAATGGGTCAATACTAGATCCTTCCCTACAGGAGGGAAGTAAAATTAAAGAGTCACCCTAGGTTTGCATTCATAGCTTGATGGAAGCATAAGCATTTGTGCAACTGCAAGGAACAAGAGGGGGAAAGAATCTTCGTAAGGATTTTTTTTTGTAGTTAATGACTTATATTTGGATAGCTGTAAGTTTGCTACTTTACAATGTCGTCCCATAGATGCTACAAGCCAAATTTAGACAAATCCTAGACATCTTGTGAATTAATCTAAGCAAGTTATTTTTATTTATGTTTGCCAATACCTAGAAATCAATGCCATTTCTGACTAAATCCACTGTAGGTAAGTAATTTATCTGAGCAGAGTCGAAACCCAACCAAACTTTCCTCCAGATTGTTTTTAACATTGTTGTTTTTTTAATAGGATTTTTTGATAATTGCTGTTTAGCGTGACTCAGAATAATTGTGAGCAGCAATTAGAATTTAAACCTTGCATGTGCATTTTTTTATCTTTCTCATCTGAATATATCCGGGATTGAAGAACATGACATGGGCAGTGTTGGTCTGTTTCCAAGCCCTGCCCCCCCCACCCAGTGGCCTTGTGGGTAAAGGCATTGCAGCAAGAAAAAACTTGAATTTTAATAGCACGGCCTTATCACAAAGTGCTCCACAAATAATTACTGACTGGTGTAGTTACTGATTCTGTGCGAACATGTGACTGGAAGGTCCAACAGACTGTTGTGAGGTGAACAATCATAGATCTTTAACATACAACTGAAACTAGATGACAAATTGCTAACGCTTCAAAAGACCATAACAGCAGCAACGAAGTGATCTCTGGTGTATCAGCCTCAACTGTGATCTTAATTCCAGATGTGGGAACTCATACGTATCCTGATATGGGGCTCAAACCTTTGAACACAAAACTGAACTGCCTCTTTCCTTTAAGAACATCTATTTGTGTTTCAAAATAACAACAAAGATCATTCATTGGTAATAAACTAAAGACATCTGGTTTGTCTGATTGAATCATATTTTCCTGGAATATTTCCCAGAGAACTTACCAGCATGTTTTGTAAGTCACTAAGAGCTATCTGGCAAGATGCAGTTTGAATGTGGTTTGCATATACCTAATGATTTTAACCAGTCAATGAGCTAGTCAGTCACATTTTAGTATTGCTATTCTCATGCTGTCACGCTAAAATTCTAAAGTTTCCTCAAGAAAATTGGACCTTTGGAAAAATGATATATCCTCGACTGTTTCAACGACACATAACTTCAATGAGACTCAGTGTTACCTGGAGTCCTGTAGAGCTTTGGTTAGAACACTCATCTCGCAAGCGAGAGGATCTGGTGGGTTCAATTCCCAGGCAGGAGAAAACCTTAGGCTTCCTTACTCCACACACCTCCGTCTACCTGGCAGTAAGTAGGATTCCAGTTTTTCGTCGATTGGTGGATTGCTTTTCCGGGGGTAATAATCCCTTCAAAATAATAATAATTTTGTCACTCAATCCAGATAAAACAACACAGAGAGAGACTAGGAGTCTGCTGTTCTAAAACATAATGTCTCTCCACAGAATCATGCAAGCCAAATACCTGCGGGCGTAGCAGAACGAGCCCAACATCTATTTGATATCATCTTCAGATACCTGGTGGATATGTTGATCTGGACCGAGAACAAAGGACTACCTCTGGAACTGCAGCCAAGGTATGTAATTCCATTTAAAGAGCTGTTTCCACTATCTTGTAGCTCCCCTGTTTTGGTAAATAGAGAGTAGGATATGAAGATATAAAAATGACCCTTTGGGTCTCCTGATGGTTCAGTTAGTAAAGGAATAAGGATAATGTAAAGTTGCTGGCCAGTGTGAAACTGACCCGTTCAAATCTTGAAGGTCCTGGGTTTTACCCTGCACCGTTCTGAGATGTGCACAATATAAATGCAAGTTATTGATCATCTCGGGTCTGTACTGAGTTGTCTGATCTCAGTTGGGACAGCAGTCGAGGTCTATAATTATCCTTCGCACCTCAGGGCTAGGGAGGAGGAGCGAACAGCTTGGGACCTGATCCCTGCTGGAAGTTTGTGTGAATGTTTTCAGTCTTTTGTAACGTTGAGAGGAAAATGTAATAACATAAGGTTTATTTTTCTTTCAAGGGAGAAGACGGACTCTTATTTCTGTATGCTGTTTAACGATGAGGATCATTCCGTTGACCATGTCATTCATTCACTGCAGAAGTCGCTAGGTTGTTCCACTAAAGAAGCTGAGAATTACACCTGGATGGTAGATAAAGAGGTAGGTGTTGTCTTATAAATGTCTGAATAACCCGGTGGCACATTTGCTAATGAAACCTATTTAACACATTCTGGAGTTCATTGTGTCGTCTACAAAAACTGCACTCTGATCTGTTCCTTTGTTCATTGTTTTTTCCTGTGTTTTTTTTNAGGGCCGCCGTGTTATAAAGCATGGAACATTGCAGTCATGTCAAGAAACAAAGCAAGAGGTCTTTGTAAGTGAGACCAGATTATTCTATATTAAAATCCATTTCATCACGGGAGCTGAAATTCCCAGGTGCCACATATGTGGCACAATGTAACAAACTCTTTTGGACCCATTGCATTGTTCACCATTTCAGGAAGTCAGCTATTTAAACTTCAAACGTACTCATAAGGAAATTGTTTTTATTCTGATCTGTTGTAATATTTTCACTCAATTTCTGTGATTATGATCCAATATAGTTTAAATTTAGAAATGTTAAATATGAATTACCTGGATGTGATGGAGACAGACGCCCTCCCTTCCTCAACACGTTTAGCATTGCTGAAATCCAGGAAACTGGATTGTGTGTTCATTATCTATATCCTCCCACTGGGTGATGTCATCCACAGACATGGGGTAAACTTCCACATGTTTGCGGATGACACACAAGTCTACTTTGCCTCCTCCAGTACTAACTCTAAATCCACCGATATTCTATCAGCTTGTCTGGCAAACATCAAGGTCTGGATGAGTGTAAACTTCCTGCAGCTGATTATGGACAAGATGGAAGCCATACTCCTTGGGCTCTCCCTCAGACCCACCGAACCTGTGCACAATCTAGGTGCCCGGTTTGACTCCCAGCTGTTCTTCCTCCCCCACCTTGGGTCCCTGACCAGGACCGCCTTCTTCCACCTCCGCCACATTGCCCGCCTCTGACCGTATCTTAACCCAACTACAGCTGAAACCCTTGTGCATGCATTTGTCACCTCCCGCTTGGATTATTCCAACGCACTCCTCTCTAGTCTCTCCAGCTCCACCATTCACGAAATGCAGCTCATTCAAAACTCTGCGCCTACATATTGACCCGGACCAAACTCTGTACCCACATTTCACCAGCTCTGGCCACGCTCCACTGGCTCCCCATCACACAACGGATCGACTCCCAATCATGTTCAAATCCATTCACTCCCTGGCATCTCCCTATCTCTCCAACCTCTTCACTTCCAAATCCATCGGGCGCCTCCGCTCTACTGGCACTGGCCTCCTGCTTGTCCCTCGCACCCTCCGCCCCACTATCAGATATCGTGCTTTTAGCCACTAGACCCCAAAACTCTGAAACACTCTCCCTCAATCCCTCTGCCTTCACCCCTCTTTCCCTCTTTCTGCCTGAAAACTTTCCTCTTTGGCTGTGCTTATGGCCTCCTCCTCCGGCTCGAAATCATGCGGGAGGTGACAAAAGCATGCTCTGAGTGGAGGGCGCTATATAAGTGCATGTTGTTGTTCATGGATGGGGAATTCGACTGCTGTTTAGCGGCATTAAACAAAATCTCAGAGTAAAGCCTCTACCCTGCGAGCCAAGATCAAGCAAGCTACAATGCAACTGTATTTTAAAAAAACTCAACAACAAATTACATTTTTATAGCATTTTTCATGTCAGGAGGACGCCCTGAGGCACTGGACAGTCAGGAATTTGGACCAAAGCTAGGGGTTGAGTAGGGAGGGTAGGGGTAGGATGATAACCGAAGGCACAGTCGAAGAGGAGGATCTAGAGCTGAGTCTTGAAGGAGGCAAGGGAGGGAGCAAAGCGGAGAGACTGGGATGGAGATCTAGAGCAGTGTTCTCTCCCTCTCCAGACTGGGCACCGGTAGGACAATGTGTGACGCCAAAAACAGCACTGACACTTGAGCATTGCTCATAGTGCAGCTCTAGTGTTTCTGTTTAAATATCATGGTATCATCCTGGGTATGAATGGAACTCATTGTAGAGTACTGCAAGATCTGTGTTTGAGGGCTCATGATCCTTCCCAGTGACCACAACACATGATCATCTGCTCAAAGCGTGAAAGGTCCTGTTGTGACATTTTAGTCAATTTCCCATTCTCCTGGAAACACAACTATTGTTGCAGTACAGCTCAGCATGTGACTCTATCTCTGGTACCTTGGGAGAACCTGAGCAGAGGCTGTCCTGAGGCTTATCAGACTGAGGAAAACAAAAACAACAAACACATACAGTTATATAGCACCTTTCACTTCGGAAGGACGTCCGAAGGTGCTGGACAGTTAAGGATTTGTACCCAAGTGGTGGGATGGAATCGAGGGTGGGAGAATAGGAGTATGGCCAAAGTCACGGCCAAAGGTGAAGGTCTTGAGACAGGCCTCGAGGGAGGCAAGAAAGGGAGCAAGATGGAGTGATTCGAGGATGGAGTTCCAGAGTATGGGGCAGAAAAATGGAAGGACCATCTGCAAATAGTGGGATGGGCAGGGCGGGGGACATGGAGCCAGGCCAGGTGCCCACCAAACAGAAGGATGGGACAGGTTAGTATGGTGTTAATAAGGCCCAGAGATCACAGCTGGGTGTGATCCCTCCTCATCCAATATCTGTTCATGAGGACTTTATAGCAGAGCTCACCCCCCACCGGGGAGCGGTTGGAAACTCTGGTTGACGATTCTTCCATTCTCTTGGTCTGTGATTTTTAAGCCAAATGAGTCTCCCCCATCCCTGTCTATGGTTAAGATTAAGACCGAGATTAAACCTGGCAACATCTTTGACTAAAGTTTCTCTTTCCTGTTTGCAAAGTAGATTTAAATAGATGAGTAGGATTTATATTTTCTTTGCAGAATTCTAATTAATTGTTTACAGCTGTTCATTGAAGATTGAATGAAATTGTCTGCACTGTGTTCTCCCCGGTGTACGTGCGTTCTGTCCCACTGACGACATTACAGTTTGTTTCAGTTCTCATCAGCCCCAGTGACCTCCAGATGCTTTGTTTATAAAACTCTGTTTATAAAACTCTGCTGCTCTGCCTTCGGGAGCTGTCTATAAAACTTATTGTAGCCTGGATCTTCCGTATTGTTTGACCATCAATGAGGGAGCCATAAATTGTCAAGAGAGTTGCAAATGAATAGTTGCCTTTTTTTATAGATGCTGTTCTTTTAATCTTAATCCGCCAATAGTTTTAGCAGCTGTTGATGGAAATGCAAAGTGTATTGTTAAAATAGACCAATTGCCAAACTAACTTGTATTAATCCTTGTTTCAGAACAACACTAATAGTGTGTTCCAGTCTCCTCTTCGTGTTGAGATCCTTCACTCCACTATTGTTTCTCATCAGACCTTTGCATGTCGTCTTCTGTCTTGGCTTAACCACATGATTGGTTACTCAGGCAAGTCCGAAGTTTTCAGTATGTTAATTCAATGGATATTTTAAACTGTTTAATGTCAAAGAAGGAGCTGCAGGACGCTAACAACTTAGTGGTGTGTGTTCAAAGAGAGAGAGGTCTAGGTTACACAACCAAAGCTCTATTGCACATGGCTCAATAGAGGAGGAGGTGGTCATCACTTCTCCATTCACGTGGTTTGCATATTGAAAGCTGACTCGCTTCAAAATGTTGCTTCAAACCTACATTTTGCAGTGAACTTTGTTTCGCTGCCCAGATCAGCGGCTCTGGAGTCTTGGCAAGTGTCCTCTGGGTGGAATTTCTGTTATTGACGGATTTTTTTTTGCTTCCTTCCTCATGAGGAAATGCTTTGCCCACTTGTTCTCCCACTTGGCTCACCGGAAACTCAAAGCTCACTGTTTGAGGAGCTGTGAACATAATTTGCAGAGGGCATTTTCATGCATAATTTCTGCCAATGTTCTTTACCAATCATACTTAACTATTGTAATATATTCAGTGCTTAAACGCTAAAGAAGCACCTACTCGTAAATCTCGAGGAACGCTGTTTTAACAACAATTTACAATTCTATAGCGCCTTTCATATTTGGGGGGTGTTTCAAAGCAGTTCACAGCTGACTGGGAGTCTGAACTGTGGATGTAGGAGAAAAGTGGATGAACATTCAAAAAGATGGATCTTAAGACTGGTTTTGAAAGTGGAAAGGTGGATTGATTGGGGGACATGAATCGACCAGGTGTTTGCTGATAAGAGGGATCAGCCTTTGCAGTGGGGTTGCAGAGGTTGTTGGGGCTAGGCCTTGGAGAGATTTGAAAGTAAGGATGAATATCTTAAATTCAATTGACTGGGAAAAGGGGAGCCAGTTGAGCCAAGTGAAGATGAGGGTGATGATGGGCATGTGGAACCCGGTACAGGAGAGGATATTGTCTCTATTCTGGATGAACTGCAGCTCATGTTAGAGGGTGTCTAGTGAGCAGAGCGTGGAATAATTGATCCTGGAAGTAATGAAGGAATGGATGAGGATTTTAGGAGTCCGCAGGAGAGCATTGTGACGGAGATGGAGGAAAGTTGAGTGATTGAGGGCCTGGATGTAAGGTTTGGAGAGCATTTTGGGGTTGATCAAAACATGGGGTTCACAGTGGCTCCTTGAGGTGGAGTGAGCTGTTCAGGTCAATGTGATCAGCGTCTGAGGTGAGAGGGGCTGATGGGAGTCGAGCAAGAGAGCCTCAGTCTTGTTGACATTTAGCTGCGGAAAGTTTCAACTCATCTAACAAAGTAGTTGATGATCCATAAAATCCCAGCTATGAATAAGGGCATCAGTGATTGCTTCCTCATTTACAGCGCGTGTGCGTTGAAAGCTCCTTTCGAACGCTGCTTCATAAGTGTCTGCACTTTGGATATTTCTGTAAGTAAATGTCAGGGTCCACGTTTCTCCCCCCCCCCCCCATACACACTTATGAGGCTGGCTCATTCTAGGGGATTTTATGTGGGTGTTGGGAACATTAGACTGTCAATTCCTTCAGCTTTTTCATATCCAACATCTGGTTCATAGGAATATTGATACAGATTGTTACAACAATAAGAACAATAACAAATTACAATTCTCAGAGATTTGGATCCGAGTTTGGGGTTGGGATTAGCAGGGGTAGAGGGCAGGGAGGATAGGGGAAGGAGGATGGCTGAAGAGTGCAGACAAACAGATTACTTCCCTGTTCTCATACTGAGAATGGTGGGTGGATGGCTCCTTTACTTGCTTAAGTGTTTAGTGATGGTGGATTGCTGCATCTGTGCGCACAAAACCTTTGAGGTTGTATTTTATTCCTCGGTCGTACTACCTTAATAACTGTAGCGAAGCTAGGGGAAATCAGCTACTCAGCCATGGCTCAGCCTCAATTATTGTTCTTCAATTGGTGGCCTTCAGGAAAAAACTGATGCTATAAGTTTTACACATGCGCAAAATGTGTTACATCATCAAGGTCTACATACATGGGACGTGATGCGTTCCATAAAACCTTTTATAAGAAGATTGTTTCTGATGGTCTTTTGTTTGCACTGCAGCTGGTTTACGGCAGATTTTCTGTGACCTGGCCCTTCAACAGGTGCCTGCGTCGGATCAGCCTTGCTTCATCAGCAGACTAATGTTGTCAGATGTCAAACTGTGGAAAGGTTAGTAAATGAACCAAGTTGACAAAGCAAAGTGGCTACATCTGCACAATATAAGTAACTGAATTACTGTATATTGTGTGACATTTTAAAATTCTAATCACTGACCTAGTCTGATAAGTGCAGAAGATTCCGTGCATTTTTTTTAATTTGTAGGAGCACGAAAAGCCTTCCATGAACTTATAGTGTGCAGTTTGCTGATGGAAGCGGAATACAAGCGGCTTTTTGCTATAGAGTTTATTAAGGTAAATATTTTTAAGCTAAATATTCCATGCATGATATAGTTATAGCATCTGATGTAGAATACATGTAAGTCCTGTTCTTTCCAGATACCATTCCTATCCTGAGTTGATTGGTTATATTCCAATTGTGGGCAGTCTATTATCATCCTTGCTTTTGATATGGTACTTAATATGCCACCTGATGCATCAAATGCTTCACAGGATGTAGTGACTGTATTTTGTAGGCGAATGCAGTGGACAATTTGCACATGGCAGTATCCCACAATCACAAAGTGAATGACCAATTTTATCTGGAAGATTGTTGGCCAGGGCATCAGGAGATTTGCTCTTGTTCTAAATGGGAGCAATCTGTAGATTTGTATAGAAATGTGAGGAAATACTAGAGGAAATTGGATAGCTATTTACTGAAAGAAATCAGTTGAGGGGTATGAAAGAGAATTATGTGATTTGGTCTTTTGGTTTTGGGACCTCATAGGTGAACCTCAACGGTCTTTTCCAGGACTGTGTATTCTTATATAAGAATAAGTACTACAGAATGGAGAGAGAGGGGGGGGAGAGGAAATTGTCACACAGGTATTGTTTTTGTCTCGTCAAAGTGATGAAAAAGAAAGAACACAATTACACACCTTGATTTGAGTGCAGATAAGAAATGTCTGCTTAAGTTTGATTTGTCTGACTTTTGATATTTGTGTCTTAACAGCACTACAAACAGCTGCAGCTTGAGTCTGTAGAGGATGACCAAGATCGAAATATATCTGTGACCGCACTCTCTGTTCAAATATTCACTGTTCCAACACTGGTAAGTAGAGCAAGTCTTCTGGAAACTTTTTGGAGGTTATTCAGGGGTTTGAGAGTTAACATATTATTCAGAACTCTGCAGCTCATGTCCTCTCCCGTACCAATCTCTGTGAAACGTTCACCCATCCTCGCCCAGCTCCACTGGCCTCAGAGGATCAAGCTTAAAATCCTTGTCCTCACTTTTAAAGCTCTCCATCGCCTTCCTCTATTCTACCTCTGTGACCTATTAATACCAAAGCAACCTGTACACTCCCTCCACGCAGCAGGCTTTGGCCTGCTTTCTTCCCTGCCCACTCCAGCATTGGTGGTCGAACCTTCAGCTTTTCCGGCCCTATCCTCTGGAACTTCATCCCGGGATTCCTCCCCCTCGCCACCGCCTTGCCTCCTTTAAGGCCCGTCTTAAGACTTTACTCTTTGATCGTGCTTTTGGCTACCCTCCCATGCCCTTAGCCCCCCATCCCTCTTGATTCCATCCCCCAACTCAGGTGCAAACCCTCAACTGTCCAGTGCCTTGGGATGTTCTTCTGACGTGAAACGTGCAATGTAACTGTAGGTCGAAGATCAATAGAAAGCTCATGGTCTGAGATCATGAGAGAAAATCCAGAAAGGAGAGCAAAGAGTTAGAGATGAGCTACATAGAATCTTCAGAGCCGGAACAGGCCAACTATTCTGTGCATACGCCACTTGAGCTCCCACCCATCCAAATTCCTTCCTCCCACACATAACCCTCTTTTCCCTTCTCCTACATCCTGTTGTAGTTTCAAATATTCCAACACCAAGTGGTTGATCAGATCCGTTCTCATATTCATAGGCTCGACATCTGATTGAAGAGCACGATGCGCTGAAAATCATTACTGAGACCATCATCGAGCTGTGGTCTGAGCACATGGAAAATGGCAAGCTTAATTTCCAGACTCAATCCCAGCATAAATACTTCCGAAATGAAGTCGTCTTGAATGACCTGAAGTACGTATGCCTCCACAATCCAGTCACCCTTCTTTGTGCTAGGCTGCCACATTCAATGCTTTTGGAACCAATTGCCTCGTTCACAGATTATCAGATTTATTAACAAACAAATGCTAGGAGTTTGATAGACTGATTGCATTTGATAGTTATAATAATAATAATCCTTGCATTTGATGTAGCGCTTTTCATGTCGGGAGGACGTCCCAAAGTGCTTCACAGAACACACTGTAAAGTGAATTGACTGTATATTTGTGGGCGAACGCGGCAGCCAATTGCGCACAGCAATATCCCACAAACAGTCGTAGATTGAAAATGACCAATTTTTATTATTGTTTTTGGTTTTGGAGGGATTATTATTAGGCTCTGTGTGGAGTAAGGAAACTTGCCCAAGGTTTCGCCCTGCCTGGAATGGAACTCATGTCTCTCGCTTGCAAAGCGAGTGCTCTAATCACTGAGCTACAGTTAGTTAGCTGCTCGGTGATGACTACATGTACGGTAGAGGACCTGATCTGTACCTGAATTGGGACCTGCCCCGTTGTGAATATGGAAATACAGTTAACACGGAACGCGGGTAAATTGGACAAAACGCCAGGGCCTGATTCATTTGTTTTCTCAGCTATTTTAAATATGTCGGTTAATTCAGACAAAATGTGGCACAGGTCACCACTGCGGCTACTCTTTGTCATTAGCAACTCCATTCAGGCACGAGCGGTTCTGGGATGGAGGTGGGAGGAGTCAAGTTGCGATTGACAGCAGACTCCAGCCATTCACGAGCGTCAAATCGCGATTGATTGACAAGCCTAGAGCTACTTGTTCATCGATAGAGTGCTCCAGGCTGTCAATAACCTCAGAGTCACCGTTAATTGGTCCCCTTCCCGTCCAAAGGTTGGCTGGGCAGGAAGAAGTTCGGTTAACCTTGGATACCACTTAAACCGGACAAAACGGCCACCCCCCTCCCCACCCACCACCATGTGTCTGGCTTCAACTGTAGTTTGAATTTATTCTAAGCAGCACATGGCACACATGGGTTCCTGGTCAACTCCTGGTCTTGTTAGCTAATCTCTGGTGTGTCGTTAAGGGACAGAGTGCTGCACACACTGCTTTCACAACTCTTGTGAAAGGATGTGAACTGAAGATTTCTTTTCTCTCCGAGATTGTGATGTTTCTCTCCCTTGTTTACAGGTATGTGTTGATCAGCAAGCCACCGTTGTGGACAGACAGAAGGAGAGACCGTTTCCTCGAAGGGTTTAATATTTTTTTGAGACTCTTAAAGTCCATTCAGGTAAATTGCAGTTAAATTCAAATAGGTTTCTTTTCAGCGTCACAACGTTTAAATTATTGAAGAATAATTGTCTAGATGTCCATCTGTCTACTAGAGCTACTACACAGTGCTGAACTGAGCTACAGATAAAGAACATCTCAGGATCAATCCTCATTCTGTGCTGAATTATCTAATCTTCCAAGGATGGCAGGAAAATGCTCCAAATCTTTCCTGATCCCGATTGTTATGCAATGATCCAAAATAAAATGAAATGCACATATGGCTATTTGTTGACTGCTCATCAAAGCCAAGCCAGGTTTTGTTCTTACCAATCTCCATGACATACATTCTCCAACAAGGGTCATTAAAAAGTGCAGGAGTAGGAACCTTAGCTGATTTTATTTCCCTTCCCTATTCAAGGGCATGCCACTCGTGTGTGTGTGTATAGCAAACCTGATAACTTGACACTCCAAAGGAAAAGTGTTCAGTTACAAGTTATCCAGAGTGACAAGTCTAAATACATCAATAAATTCCAGATTGGAATATTGACAGCATGATGACATAACAACAACAACAACAAGATTTCATTTATAGAGCGCCTTTCATGTCGGGAGGACATCCCAAGGTGCTGGACAGTTGGGTCGGGACCCGAGCCTTGGGGGGAAATGGTCAGGGGGAGGGAAGGGATAAGTGATAGTGACAAGTTAAGAAAGGGTTAAGTTATCAGGAGTTTACTGTATTCCAGATTGGAGTTTGGCTTGTATTATTTTGACTTTTTTTTGTAACTTAAACAATTCTGCTGAATTTGCCAGGGCATGGAACCAGTATGCAGACAGTTTGGACAACACGTTGAAATCGAGCCAGATTGGGAGCCAGCTTTCACTGTTCAGATGTTCCTCAAATTTATTCTGTTGATGATGCAGGAATGGTGTGCGTCTGATGTAAGTAATCACAATCTTCCACGCCCTCTTCCCCACAGAAAAATGCTGCACATGCTGCAGCTCACAGCTAAGTAAAGGAAGTCAAATCCCTATCTTTTTCTATCCTGTTAATTTTCCTCCTCCAATTTTATCCTCTCCCATTCACCTCTCTTAAAGGTTTTAATTATTTTCTTTACTTCCCTCCCCCTCCCTATTTCTCCATTTCTACAAGGGTGTGTTTCCACAGGTGCCAGTCACCCTCCGTTAACTCACTTAAGAGGCCATGATTCATATGTGTCTCCTTATAGCGAGTGTTGGAGGTTATTCCACAGTGACAGCTATCCCAGCCAGCTTGATACTGTCCTTGCCCAAAGTCCACACCTTCTCACTTTCATTGATCATGATTAGGAATCTTGCTTGCCTGAACACAGGGTATTATGATGGCCCCAACTGCTGCTGTTTACATGCATAAATAGCTCAAGCATTTCTTTTGGGATTTCTATATATATTCCCCCTTCAGCCCTCTGCTGAAGTTGTTAATCTGACCACGTAAAAGATACATGGTAGCATCCAGTCAACTCACTCCAATTTTCTCTGGAAGGTATAAACTGTTTAATATTAGTAGCTCCTTTCCTATCACTTATTTTTTCCCCTTGAAGTCAAAGACCCAATATTCCACCTAGTCCTATCCTGTAAGAATTTGTCTTAAAATTTAAGTTTTGAACAGAATGGTAGAAAATTCTTAAATTAAGTCTTAATTTTAATTTGGAAGCTTGTTTTCCCCAGTTTCTGAAAAGAACCAACTTCCAAAATAAAGAATATTTAAGAATTTTCCACAATCTTGCACAATCTTAAACGTTAAGCTAAATTGGTATTGCAGGCTAACAATAGGTAACTATGTACTCCCTCTGCAAAAACAGCAGCATTTCCTCATTTGTACTTCAGTTTATTTTCATTACGTACGTGAAAAACTGTTCTGGTTTTGATTCTAAGAATTCTGATTGAAAACAGGAGCAAGTTCTTCTTCGTGCCTACAAGGAATGCCATAGTGTTTTATCTCAGTGTTCTAATGAGCTTATTCATTGCAACACAAAGAAGCAGTCAGCCACGCTTAACTTGTGTGGCCACTCAGTCAGCTGCGTGGTGTCTCGAGAGCCCATCAGCATCCACCTTCCATTGTCGCGGCTTCTTGCAGGTAGGTTTCAGAACAGCCTCTACTTCAAAATGAACTTGTTTCAAATTCCAAGAAAGATAATGTGGTGATGGGAATGAATCAGCAGAATCACACAGGCTACAGAGCACACACTGGATTGGGCATTAAAATTAATAATAATTTGATCACTCAATCCACGACTGTTTGTGGGACACTGCTGTGCATAATTGGCTGCCACATATCACCCACAAGATGTACAGTCAATTCACTTTACAGTATATCCTGTAAAGCGCTTTAAGACTTCTCAAAGACGTGGTAAGGCGCTATATCAAACGCAAGGATTATTATTATTAAAATAAGAAAAGACTATTTGGCCTAGCGAGCCGACACCTTCCACGGCCACACAAAATCTAGCCCTATCCTTGCTTTGCCTCGCCACTCAAGAGTAATGGGAAGAGGTGTTGTCTAAATAATTCCTGAACCCCCAAAGAGATGTCGACCTAAAAACTCCAGAATGTCCATCAAACATCACACTTTCTATCCTGGCCTCTTTCCCCTGCCTGAACTAAAATGATTGTCCCTTGTATTTATTTGTTCATTTCCAATCTGCACCTGTCCCTACGTCGTCCCATATTGGTTCTTAATTAGATTCCTATCCAATTATTCTTTTTGGTATGGTTATTGACTGCTTGTGTTTGGATCCTGTTCTAACAATATGCTAAGCTCTCAACATTACTGTATTTCAGGTTTACATGCACATCTAAGCAGAAGCGGAGCAATTGACAAGTTAGAACAGTATGTGCCTTCAGTAAGTAAAGTGACATAAAACACTTTAGCTCTTTTCAGTAGTCTGAATTCCTCTTACATGCTTCTGCATTAAACTAACCCCATGTTAATGTGCTAATTGTTACAGTTGAAGTTCGAAGTAGAGAAATTGATGGAATATCCATTGCGTTGCTTAGTGCTGGTATCTCAGGTCTCGGCTGATATGTGGAGAAGAAATGGCTTTTCTTTAGTCAATCAGGTATTGTGAAAATAATTGCTTTATTTCCTTGAGAAAATGAAAGAAAACATTAAAATCTTTTGCCTCTTTTAATGGGAAATTCTAGTTGTCTGATTCTGGAATGAAAGGACGTGGGTTTACATTAAATCACATCAAATGCAACGAGTATTACCCAATAGACTAAATTCTGGATCTCAGCTGTGCTATGATTGGTAAGTACCCTACAAGGGAGGGAGACTAAGTGTAAAGCATTGCATTACTGTAAATTTACGTTGAACAATTGGTGTCATGGTGACCCTTGTTGGTGTCTTGTGGTACACTTCTGACTTTTGCTATCGACTAATTGGCTTCTACTCGTACCTTGTGGGCACAAAAGGTTTCCTAAAGTCAGTGGCATCGCAAGAAACCACTGGAAATGCTGGTGAGATGGCTTGCCAATGAGCTGCTGGCTTTCAGTGTGCTCTATACCTGCACAGCAAGGTCTAGTGATGTCAGCAACAACTGGACTAGAATTTAATTGGATCTAGAATTGATGGCCAGCAGCTATTTTCATAACACAACCCATTATGACAAGGGGTCAGACTTTTTTTTGTGTGCGCGCAAAGCACTGAGTTTTAATAGGAGTGGTTTGTGACAAGCTTATGCTTAGTCTCTCTGAGCCACATGCTGCAGTGGTGCAAAAATACAGATCCTAGGTCCCCTAACCTTGGCTCTTGACAACCTAAACTATGGGATTAGATAAGCAGGGTGCAATCCTTCCCAGGCAACACTCTCCCCAGAGGAACATATCCTGCTTATCTATGTGGAACTCTCAGTGGTTTGGGTAATCTTGGATGGTATTCTGCTTGTTTCAGACTAAGAATACCCAGACCTTTGCAGCTTATTGTTAGTCATTTGGGGGTTGTTTTAAGTACTAGTGTGTCCAAACTAGATCCAGAACAGGATGATGACTGAGGCACGCCAAATAGCAGGATGTGTCTTAAAGCTAAAAGGTAAAATACAGTAATATTTATCCTTACATTTGATACTTCATGCTTTTCATATCGGGAGGTCGACTCAGCGCATGGGATTTGCTGTAGTGTAGTGATTGTGAGTTTGTAGAGGACCAGGGTAAATGTGTGATAAGTAATGTAAAATTGGAAGTAGTAAAGAAGAATTTAAGGAAATTTTTGAAAGAAGAAACATTTTTAAAAATTGAAAAAAGTTATTAATAATCCTTGCATTTGATATAGCGGTTTATAACATCTTTGAGACGTCTCAAGGCGCTTCACAGAATATATTGTAAAGTGAATTTACTGTATTTGACTGAAACGCAGTAGTCAGTTGAGCACAACAATGTCCAAGTATAAGGCTAATATACTAAGTGGAGTCCTGTAGCTCAGTGGTTAGAGCACTCGCTTTGCAAGCGAGAGACCTGAGTTCAATTCCAGGCAGGTCAGGGCGAAACCTTGGGCAAGTTTCCTTACTCCACACAGAGCCTAATAATAATCCCTCCAAAACCAAAAACAATAATAAATTGGTCATTTTCAATCTATGACTGTTTGTGGGACATTGCTGTGCGCAATTGGCTGCCGCGTTCGCCCACAAATATACAGTCAATTCACTTTACAGTGTGTTCTGTGAAGCGCTATGGGACATCCTCCTGACGTGAAAAGCGCTATATCAAATGCAAGGATTATTATTTTAAGCAAGTAATTCTTCCACCATTCAGGAAGGCTTGCTTTTTCAATTCAGTTCTTTATAGGCTGATGTAAGGAACCTCGCATTGATTCTGAAGCTAATGGGAGTTCATTAGCATGTTGTAATTGTGACCGAGGCACCTAATTTTCCTTTGTTATTACAATGACCACTACGACTAAGATGAGGTAGTATCGTTGATTTTACTTTTTTTTATTAAGGTGTTTTGCTACCGAAGTGCCAAATGGAGGGAAGAAATGTTTGATAAAGACATTGTCATGCTACAGGTATGAACTGGCAAGTTTAAAGCATAACTTTGAAATATTTATGCAGTAACACACAAATGTATATTATAGTATTCGGCCAAGCCTACTGAACACAAATATTCAAGCCATTTCAGGGCTACATTAATAGGTTTCACTTTGAGGGTATTCTGCATTATCCTCAGGCTCTGTGAGTTTGTGTTCAATTGCTCACTGAGCCACGAAGTGCAGTGGACATAACGATTTTTTGCTACAAAAAAATCAATTATTTGGCCAACCCACAAGAAGCAGGTCTTGAGACAAATGACCTCCAATGGCATTGGAGGCTTGTTTGGAAAAGAATGTGACCTGCTGTGTTGTCCTGGCTGCTGAAGGAAAGATACCTTGATGAGGAGCAATTACTGAATTAATTTTAGAAATGGGGAGGGCAGAGAGACAGAATAGGGGTGAGGGGAGAGGGAAAGAGTGGATAAGGGAGGATGGGGAGGGACAAAGTGGGGAAGAGTGGAGAGGAGGTCAGTGGGGAATGGAGAAGAGGGGGTTCAGAGTGGGTAAGGGGGAGGCTTATCCTCAATGGGCCAGTCCCAATTAGTGAGAACAATCGTCTTTACTGTACAGGATTATGGATCTGTGCCATAGGAATCAAAACTGTTTCCTTTTCCAGATTGGTGCCTCTTTGATGGATCCAAACCATTTCCTAATGTTGGTACTGAATAAGTTTGAACTGTTTGAAGACTTTACTAAGCACTCGATTCCCAAAAGCAAGGTAAGTGTCCAATTGCCACAGCTCTCACAGGCGGTTTCATCGACCCATTTGATTCTTCCCCAAAGTCAGTAGCGACACTGTGCTGTCAGCACTGAGAGGAGAGGGGTCCATTGATCAGGGAATTGATATGTTAGGCCATTGAGACCAAAATGGGTAACTCTGTAAATAGCTTTTAAATTCTTTGTGGGACATGGCTGTGCACAACTTGGCTGCTACATTCGCCAACAAAACACACAGTTGCAACACTTTACAGTAAAAATCCTGTGAAGCACCTTGAGACATCTCAACGGTGTGATAAGATGCTATATCAAATGCAAGGATTATTATTACACTGACATGTAATATCTGATCAAATGGGACCAAGCTCTCTCCCTGTCTACCCACCCCTCAACATTTACTACTGTGGTCTAAAACTTCAATTCAAGTGTTATCAGCAGTTAGAGAGATTGAATTGTTCTTCCTAACTCCTCCTGAGGGTGGTCACCCAATGCTGGAGCTTATTTCCACAGGTGGCGGAGGTAACTCTTATACCTCATTCAAGTGGCTGTTCATGTTTGATCTTGTTAGTCGATTATTTGACCATGTTAGTAGTGAAAAGGGAAAACTCCCGACTCTTCATCCAGGTCCTGCCATGGGATTTTTAAATATCCACCTGGATCATCAGGCCTGGTTGGACCTTGGTTCAACATCATAGCTGAACAAAAAGCATTGACACTAAAATTATAGGAAGATAGAAATGAGAAGGACCAAAGAAACCACTTTAGTCCTCCTGGGAGATCAAGTTTTAAGTACAATTGTGCATACGATTCTCATGGAGCACGAGTTAAAGAATTAGATGTTGTCAGTACTAAGTTATCCTTTTTTTAAGGCAATATTACCACACAATGATAAATTACTTGTTAAAATACATAATCAATCCACTTTACAATATATCCTGTGAAACTCTTTGAGATGTCTCAACGACATGATAAGGCGCTATATCAAATGCGAGGATTATTATTAATAGATTGTAGGAAAAGATTACAATGAAGAAAATTGAAGAACCGATTTGACTATTGTGTAATCCGCTGGACAAGGTTCCTACCAATGATGTAATTTTGTTTTGCAGGATGAGATTAAACAGAACGTAAGCCTATTGGAAGAATTTTTGCACCTTATTATTATGGTGGTTGGTAAGACTCCTTTTATTCATGCAAGCTAAACTACATTTACAGTGTAGGAAATAAACATTAAATCATCAATTCTTGTAGCTATTGGGCAATGGGAAAAATACAAAGTTAAATTGAAATTAAAAGTTGATGTGGACAAGTATTTGGTTATGCGATAGGTATCGCACTATAGCCAAACCTCTGAGCCACTTCACAGGCACCACTACCCATTCACTGGCTTTGGGTGATCATTGTTGGTGAGCATCATACAGAGATCAGTACAGTTGAGTGTTATCGCTGGTGGGACTGGGAGCAGCAAGTCATCTATAATGCTCCATCACTCTAGCAGGTACATTGATGAGGTACATCTGCCTTTAGAGTCACTACTGTGTTTAGAATAACTGCAAATGTTTTTTTAATAAAAAAAATACAATTTACAAACCTTTTGTATCTTATGCACTGAGGACCAGAAATATGATTCTAAGTGTTCATTAAATTAGCGACGTAAAGAGCCAGGAAGTATCAGGGTTGTCATTCACCGAGTTGCTTATTCAGTTTGATGATGTGTGAGTTGCAATCTACCTGCAATACCCTACCTTAAATAAAAACATGATAATCAGAGTTTTTATAAGTCTGTTTTCACATAAATCCCAACATGGATTTCCGTTTGTTGGGAAGACATTTTCAACGGATTTAAGTCAAATCTAAAGTGGTGATGTGTAAGCAATGGAGTGGAGTGTGAATGATGGTCTCCCGTAACTCTGCAACTAATTAGATTGGAGTCTAATTTACAGCTTGAATTGGACAATGTGCAATGTATGCAATACAGAGGAAATTATAGATGCCCATAAAGAACCAATCAGAAAGGCTGCAAAGGATTCTCTGTCTTTTTGTTAGGTGTTGGGGAAATGTAATTCCTTTTTTGCGTATGGTTTGCACTTCCTACAAATTAGAGCCCAGTAGTTATGCCGTGGATTTCTATTTGTTTCTCTCCAGGGGAGAGGCATGTTCCCGGAATAGGCCGTGTGACAAAAGAAGAGGTCACAATGAGGGAAGTGATCCATCTGCTCAGTATTGAATCAATGGCTCACAGTAGCCTGGTCAAAGCTTTGCCTGAGAACGTGAGTATTCCCAGTGCAGCTTGTTCAGCAAGACACAAATGTACACTCTGTGACTCCTGAGGCGCATGTCAGGCGCTACGAGGAATGTAACTGAGATCAGAAACGGTCTTGCTCCACATTGTTAACTTGGCCCTTGGGGCATGGTGATAGCACTGCCACAAAATGTAAAACTGACCACTGAAAAATTACAGGGTGTACATTCCAGGAATTATGCAATTGTGATGCCGCGTAATTTTATGCATAATACGTTTAACTACGCGTAATATTGCACAATATGGCGGAATCTCCTCATTCCTCCCTCTCCGCCTGTCTTCCCTGTCGCTCTCCGCGCTGCCTCGTAGCACCCCCTTTGCATCTTTGCATCTGGAGGCAGGACAGAGAGCTGTGGAAAGGGAGATAGAGCGGGAGGTGCACCTTGTAAATAAATGCAACATTGTTCTATATAAATAAATATGCTATATGAAAAACAAATGAAAAATTAAAACTGGAATCCATATCTTTCTAAAGAGTTCACTTTATTATCTGTATTGAAATTGTAAAAAAAAAGTGTGATTTTGCAACATTTTCATTGTTTTGCTTGCATCATTTTTATTTTTTCTGTGCATGTGTAGATGGCACACATGCATGAATGGACACCTGTGATTAAGCCGCTGGATGTCTCTAAACTTTTGTATTTAAAGTTACATCCAACTTTAGTTTCAGTCTTAGTTGGTGTAACCACTACCTAATGAGGAACTGTCCATTTAGGGCTTAAGGTTCTGACTGTAACTACAAGCAGTCTTGCAGACCATGAACACTCAGGTCAGCTGACTCAGCGATTAAAAAACATTTTTTTAATACCCTACAATTTTTCAATAAAATTTACCGGAAGATAACTCTGAAGTGAAATAAAACATTTGGATGACTGAATTTACTGTCCCGTGGTGGCCCAATTCTGATGGTAACCAAAGTCGTCTTGATCATTGACCCTTTAGAGGGATTGTTGTCCTGGTCAGTTAAACATCTTTTAAGTTCTTGCTAGAACATCACAAACACATTTTCATAAGTTAAGTAAAGTTAACTAATGAATTAGGTAAAATGACTAAGAAACCTATTCCAGTCTTCAGCTGTTTTGTTTTAAAAATCTGCTAATGGTGTATTTACTTATTTGTTCTTTTATTTTGATAGGAAAACCTTATGTTTTTGTTTTGCAGGAGAGTAATGAAACCGGTCTGGAAAAGGTTATCCACGAAGTGGCCACGTTCAAGTCAGTTAAGTTTTACACAGCTTTATGAATCATTGCAATTTACTTTTCATGCATATTCTAAAGTTCTGTCTTTTAGAAACTGACAAAGATTCTGAATGATATGTTGGAGCCTCGTGGATATGATTCATTACTGAATTGTATCTCCCTTTTTTTGCTTCCTTTTATTCTAAGACAGAGATAGAATTTATTTTGAAGATGAACACATTTAGTTCTTCAGACTCTGTTATCATTCAATAAATTATAAACTGGAAGGGAGCTTTTCTGAAATGTAGGTGACTTTATTGTGGAGCTATGTAGTATACAGGGCAGGAATAGGTTACTAACAATTCTTTTGTCTTTTCCTAGAAAGCCAGGGTTGTCTGGCCACGGTGTGTATGAGTTGAAGCCAGAATGTCTGAAGGAGTTTAACCTGTACTTCTATCATTATGACAAATCACAGCAGACCAAGGTAAATCCTGTCCCTCCTTAACAGTAAATGTTGATTGAATCAGAACAAATGCTCATATAATTTCCATCCTGCTATGAAAAGCATATTACCAGAACCAGATACTTGGTAGGACAAGGCTGCTCAGTACATATCATTGGGGAGAAAACGAAAGGAATGTGGAATAATTGTTTTGATAGGTAATGATCAACTGAAAACACCCAATCTTGTCAGAATGAATTTCATCAATGACCAAAGTGTCATTTCGAATGCAGTGTAAACAGGCACATGAAATGGTATTCATTTTGCAATTTTTGTTAATGTGTTTTAATATCCAGCGTACAACTCACATTAATCACAGCCATCAGCAGCCAACTAATAGCTCAAACAATAAATTTAAATATCCATTATTTACACAAATAGCTGTAAAGGTTGTAATTGTAATATCAAAGTCTCTTTAATTCTTAAAGGCTGAAGATGAACAGAAGAAAAGGAAAAAACAAGCCAACAGCAATGAAGGTAATTCAAGTGTTGATGGTTTAAACTTTTGCAATTTCAAAACGCGATGGTGTTGTGAGTCGAATGTCTTGACACAACAGGCGGAAACCATTGCCATGCTTGAGATTATCCATAGCTGACTGAGAGTTTCATGCATGTGTGCCATCTACACATGGACATTTCCCCAGTGTCTGGAATAGAATGCGTGCTTTCTCCCTGGAAGGATGTTCTGTAATCTGTGGGCAATATCAGTTCCTTGCCTTTGTGACTGATATTCACTGTCAAGACAATTTGATATTGTGATTCTCTTGATGGCACAGCATATTTATCCATGCGAATTTTAGGCTTACATACCTGGAAGGTATGATCTTTTATTCACTCTGTGCTAAGTTGACCGATTTCAGCAGTGTTCCTATGAGCACTACAATAGATATCAGCTGGGGCTGCCGCTCCTGAGGTTCCTTCTCCTGAGATTGCTGAGTTGTGATCCACTGCTAGAAGTGTGGTTTAAACTTCCCAACTCTTCTCTCAACAAGCTGCAAATTATTCAGAATTCTGCAGCTTCTATCCTATCCCATACCCAGCTCCAGGAGCCAATCACCCCATCCTTACCCTGCTTCATTGGCTCCCCATCCATCAGAGGATCGAGTTTAAGATCCTCATCCTTTACAGTCTTGTTCCTCCCTGCCTCTGTGAACTATTAAAACCATACCAATCTTTCCGCTCCCTCTGCTTGGCAGGCACTGGCCTGCTCCATGGCTCCTGCTCTGCCCAGCCCACCATCGCCAGTCGGGATTGTTCTGTGTGGACCTCAGGTTAAGGTGGTTTTATACTGGACAGCAAGCACAGTAACACGAGCCTAATTCATGCGCGCCATGTGATTGACATTGCGTCCCACCTCCTATTATAGCACACGTGACCAGTTTTACAGGGTTGTGTGGTGTTTCTTTGAGCCCTGACAATGAACTGACTGTTTGTAATGTGTCTTGCAGCTCTTCCACCTCCTGTCCCTCCTCAGTTCGTACCGGCGTTTGCAAAGATTACGAGCATTCTGAACTGTGACGTCTTTATGCTAATCCTCAGAACAGTTTGCCAGCAGGCTGTGAGTTCCAAAGGACAGTTGTGGAGCGAAGCAATGATACAGAAGGTACGAATGTGCCTGAATTGAAGCAACATGTTCAAATGGACATGAAGCTTCAAAATGGGCCTGTTGCAATTTCAGATTGAGAAACGTTAAGAATGGAGACGTGGGCATTGACGTTAGCAATTTCCTCTTATCTTATCTTTAGTTAGCAATGTGATAAGGAAATGATCCATATTACTAACAGCACGCAGCCATGTGTCTTATTACAGGCCCTCCATCTTATCTGCATGGCTTTACAAGAGGAACACAGACAGCTCAAGGAGGCAGCTGCAGAAGAAGAAGTATCTTTTGATGCTTATCTCAAAGCAACAAGTAAATACTGAGACATCTTTATACATTGAAATTCATCTGTATTTGGCATTGTTTTACAGTACCATTTTAGCTGTTTGGTAACTAAAGATAAGTGTTCACTTTATTTCCTGGATAGGTTAGTATTTTGGGGGTTAGCACAGGGAGTGTGATTCACCCCTGGATATCCAATTAAATATTACAACTGGCTTTGTCTACACCAAATCCCATTTCATCCTAAAGTCAACTCACTCTCACACTGGCATTTTCCACTAAGTGAGCCCCAGGGATTCTTGGGTCGTGTCACTAACTGAAATTCCAGAGAGTTGGTTTAGAATGCCTTGTGATCAGATGTTTGAAGATAGAATCCCATTGGGGCCACTTAGCCCATTATCCCATCCCAGACAATAAAGTTATTCCCGTGTTTAAATATAGCCTGAGAGCAGGTTAGTGGGTTCCTCCTGGGGCTGAACTACCTCCAAAGAGATGTGCCTTGCAAGGATACTCAGATCTGCAGATCGAAAGCATGTGTAAAGTTACGTCCTGAAGCTGAAGCCTGAATCCCAGGCAAGTGCTGTGCTGCAACACAAATATGGTTAACAATTTAGTTGCCAAAAGAGAAAATAAATTGTTGAGTCCGTAATGCAGCTATGTATTTACCGACTTTATTGATGATCCTCAGAGATTGGAGGGAGAAACCTAGCAATCCCATTTTTTTTAATTGTTTCTTTTTACTGTTTGTTACCGTTTCTATCGTTGCCAGTGGCGTAGTGAAGGAAACTGTGTCTGGATATGTTTGTATTTGTCCAGTTACTTTTGTGTTTTTAAGATTTTTTTGTTATTTCTTTTCAAGGAATAGGAAGTTCTGCAGTGAATGCTCAGAGTGTCCTGTCACTTGTAGAGCACCTGAAACGCGTACCTCAGTTAAATGCCCATAAGGACATGATTCTCTGGACTTTACAGGTAGGTAATAAAAATAACAAAGGGCTTCCTATAAGTTGTCCTACTGTGGTGCTTGTAATATAGTTCAGTAACTACAATATTGTAGTATTAGATTTCTGAACGGGAGATCCAAGCTCAGCCCTCAGACTTGACTGCCACTTCCATTTCTGTTTCTCACTGGAGGTAAGTTTTCAAGGCTTTCGTTTTGATGAGCCAGGTGTCTGACATACGTGGAAACCCATCGTCATGCTTTAGATCAAACCAGACAGCGTTCCACATATGCTTGATAGCTATGCATGAACATTTCCATATGTCTCAAATGGAATGTGCACAGTCTGCCTAGAGGGATGCTTACCAAATTCCGGAGAGTATTAGGTACATGGTGCAAGAACCAAAGCTTGTGCCCCCATAGTATGTTGAGGTTCTTTTGGAGTTTAACCAGCTAACAATGCATAGCTTGACATTAATGACACCAATTGTCCCTTTTTCTTCCCAAATTAAGAGTAGACTTTCAGGTGTCTTGTACCTCTGAAGTGGTGAACAGGATTTTCATGAAAATCTTAAATAGAGGCAAGGCCTCTGACTGATATTATATCTGTGCATATATTTACAGATGTTTGATGCTGTAAAAAAATTGAGGGAAAAATCGAGTCCATTTTCAGCAGCAAGAGCAGAGATTCAAAGGACGGATGAGGTAGGCTCATTTATCATGGTTTTCTTCTTATCACCCATCTTCAGAATGACATAGGTGGATGATGATACTATGTTAATGTTATGTGGCAGCTTACTGAATCTTGTTTGTGCTTTAGGCTGTACAAGACAAGGATAAAGCTGAGCGCAAACGGAAAGCAGAAGCAGCCAAACTACATCGACAGAAGATTATGGCGCAGATGTCTGCAATGCAGAAGAATTTCATCGAATCAAATAAGCACCTCTATGAGAAGGCAACAGAAGTGCTTGGACATGGCGCAGGTGCAACTGAGGAGGACAGGTAAGCAGCTGGTGGTTGTAATAAGGTCAAGAGGAAAAGATTACGTTTTACAGCCTTCTGTGGGAGTCTGTCATTAGTCTCAAGGCTATAATGTCAAATCTTGGCATTCTGGTGGAAGTTGGGTGGTGGGTTATATAGTTTCTCTTCCAAGCTTTAATGTGAAACATGATGATGAGAATTACAAAGGCCAGAGTTACAACTTTACCTAAATGTCTGTAATCTGGATCTTTTAAAATTCAGTGCATTTACTTCCCTCACAGTTCAACAACCGCTGTAGAAGATTCTGGTGTAGCTCTGGGGCCAAAACAGGGTGCAGTTGCTGCCGAGAAAATCATATTGACCTGCATCCTGTGCCAGGAAGAACAAGAGGTGCGAGTGGATGGAATGGCCATGGTGCTCACGGCTTGTGTTCAGAGGTCCACAGCCCTGACACAGAATACATGTCAAGTTGTGAGGAATACAGGAGGTAAATTGACCTATTAAGAATTTTGCAATCAAAATGTCTAGGTTTTTTTTCACATTTCACATTGTATTTCACTTTCATCCTTCCTTTCTACTTTCCTGAAGACATTTTGACTGATTTTTCCCTTCTGCTGAGATCCGGTTGCATGGGTGCCCTCTGATACATTATTCTTTATGTATAAACCTTGACCATGAATATCTAGCTATTCCTCCAGGTTGTGGTGGGGTGCGGAGTGTGTCATCACAGCTAACCTTTCTTCACCCAGAGTTCACTTACATGCACCTTCCAGCAGGAGTCTCTTTGGAGCGAGAATTATAGCTAATTTATGAATGAAATACTGTAATGCTTCAAATGCACTCCAATTTGCTCATATATTAACGTATGTTATATCATCATTAATAAAGTTAGTGTCTCTCCTACGCTGACTGTCTTAATTTGTTCACCCTCTTTATTGAAGAGCACTTCCATTTTTTTCATTATTCAGATAAAAGGAACAGAAAAAAGTGTCTAGTATAATGAGTAATTTCAATCTTGAGTTAATTTCCTTTATCTCCTTTTCATTGTAGAGAACTGTGACCCTTTATTTATGCACCCTGACCTGGGTTGTGGCACTCACGCAGGAAGCTGTGGTCATGTGATGCATGCCTCCTGCTGGCAGAAGTAAGTTGGCATGCTTGGTTTGTGACACTTATTTAATTTTTTTTCTGGCTAGTAAATAAAACACTTCATTAGGCAGCAGTTTGGTCCCATGGTGTGGTAGAATACTCGTTTACATACATAATATTTATAATCTAATCTACATTGGGCAGAATGACAACCTTCTTCAAACAAAGTTAAATCTTAGGCAGATTTCCTTACTCCCTCTGTTTACCTAGTAGTAAGTAGGAATCCGGTTGTTTGTTAATTGGCGGATCTCTTTCCATATTCCCTTTAAAAAATATATAAATAATAATTTGGTCACTCAGTCAACCACTGTATGTTCAAGTGGCTGCTGCGTTTCGCCCACAAAATATACAGCCATACATTTTACAGCATATTCTGTGAAGCGCTTTGAGACGTCTTGAAGACATGAGAAGGCACTATATCAAATGCCAGGATTATTATTATCTTCCACCTACCATCACTCTACTCTTTACGACTCTCATTTAGTCTGGAAGTGCAGGGAATTTTAAAAATCTTATTGGTGAGCTGAATGTGCCTGTGTTTTATTGGTTGTGGAAACAGTGCCTGTTATTTCATTCCTTGCTGATATGACTATGATGTGGTGGCGTAGAGAAGCTAATGACCAAAGAATGGAGGTGGAAACCCCTTGAAAAGATGGATAATGTCTCTTCCCTCAAAACAGGAAGTTTCTTTCACTTGAAATTGGGATGGTTTGTGCTTCAGACACTGGCTCACTGCAACTGCAATGGCTGTACCGAGAATGCCAACTGTTAGTCTTCACTTCCCTTCCAAAAACGGTTTTAAGCTTTAATGTTTTTCTTTGTGGTAATTGAAGCCACTCTGAAACATCATCAAATGTTCCCACTTTCTGTTGTGTCTGCAGGTATTTTGAAGCGGTGCAGAATTCAACACGCCACAGGCTTCATGCTGACCTGTCATTTCATTTGGACAACGTAGAGTATTTATGTCCACTATGCAAGTCACTGTGCAACGCTGTGATCCCTGTGCTTCCACTTCAAGCGCACAGTCTAAACAGGTATGCACAAGTATCTGCTCACTACATGAATAAGAAAAAGCATTGCACGTATTTTGTACGCTTGTTTGTTCACTTTCCCTTCGCACCAAAAACATGCTTCTTCCATGTTCAGCTGTGATCATTGAGGCGGACGAGAAATCCATGAGCTGACTCAACCTCAATGGAAATGGCTATGGAATCCATATTAGTGCGCGTCATGAAGTGTTCACTTTTGATACTGTTTGTTTTAATATATTTGGTAAGAGCATAGGTTATCAGTACAAAGCACCTTTAAGTTTTACTGTACTTGACTGTCTGAAACTCTTACCTATTGTGGCTTAGCTCCCAAAGTTGAGGATATGTCTATGGCTCGTAATGTTAATAAAGAACCAGACTAGCTGGTCAATCATCAGCAGTGTTTGGGATTGCTATGAATCCTACCACATTGTCACCTATTTTTTGGAGAACTATTTACAATGCACTAGATTCATCACTGTGCTTGTTCCTCGTAAACAAGGCTTGTAAGGCACGCCACACTAATTCATGCCAAATACAGATTCACCTGTCTTCTAACAATTTAATATCTCCCTCTTTGTGACATCGCCCTTAGACATGTATGCAGATGACACCCATATCAACCTGTCCACTCCCTCTGCTCAGCAGACTCCGGCCTGCTCCATGTCTCCCACCTGTCCACCCCACTATTGGCAGTCGGGCCTTCAGCTTTTCCGCCCCCACCCTTTCGAACTCCATCCCACAGTCCCTTCGCCTTGCTCCCAACCTTGCCTCCTTCAAGGCATGTCTCAAGATTCTCTTTGACCGCATTTTCAGTCACCCTCCTACCCCTGCCCTCTACCCCTCCTGATCCCAACCTCCAGCTCAGGTCCAAATTTCTGACTGTCCAGCACCTTGGGATGTCCTCCCGACGTGAAAAGTGCTATACAAGTTTAATTTGTTGTTGTGGAGGACAATTGATGCAAAAAAAGTTACTTGAACCATAGATTCAGTTGTGGATCTTAACTATTTGTTTTAAATGCCTTGTTCTGAATAGATAATTGAATATCAGTTTTGCTTCTATATAAAACTGGATTTTTAAAAATTTAACTCCTGTCCATTCTGTTTTTTTAACAGCAAAGATGTAGAAACTGTTGAGCAGCTGCTCACCTTACCAAAATGGCTAGAAAATGTATTAGCAAGAATAACGGGATTAAATATTTCACACACACAAGGTAGGTTAATGAAGGTGGAATTGTGCTTTTCATGGAAACCTTGCTTTTTAGGGAAATGAGATTGCAGACCATACAATTTAATTGATTGCAAAATAATGTTATGTGATCGAGAAGAAAAGCATTTTTCCATTTTCCCTTGGATAGTTTTGGTCCCCACTTCCATTCCTTCCCCCCGCAACAAGCACTCTGCATTGTCAGGCACTAAAGTTGACTGAGGCATTGATTTGGTTAACTGATTGCCATGAAGTGGCTATAGCCTCCTTTAGTCTGATAGCACCAACAGTGAATTTCAAACCAGGAGGCACTAGAATCTCAAATGAGGGACTAAGAATCTAAGGTTTATTCAATATATTGTGAGTGACTTTACAATAAAGCCTTTGTGTGTTATGTTTTGGTAGTAGTATATTATGTTGTGTTTTTTCATAATTATGGCGATCTACAGTGGGTTTAAATTATTTTTATTCTGTTTTACCTTCTCCCCTACCTTGCACCAGAGGATGGGCAGGTGCCCTGGTGTTTAAGGCCCTTGTGGTGCTGTTTTGAGGCCAGACAATGCCTGAGAAAACAGAGTGGCATGTAATGTGTGATAAATTTCTTATTTTGCAAATCAGCAGCCGTCACCTTGTTCCATTTGTTTCCTCCAAGATGAAAGCAACCAAATGCAAGAGAATCCAGCCTCGTGGAAGAACCCTGTAGAATTCCGATCTATCCTCAGCTTTGGAGTGCAGCCACCGTACGTAATATTAACTTTTTTTAAAACTCTTATTTTCCTAGTTACATCAGCAAAATGTGTTTTACTACATCACTTGAATACTGTAAACATCTCTCTCCACGTATAGTTAATATTATTTTCTTTCAAGAGTTAGTATCTTATGGGTGGCAAATGGATTATTTGAATACAAGTTTGATTTGTTTTCCTAGGCAATTTCCTGTTGTCTCCTCCTCACCTGAAAATGCTTTGGATATTTTTCCTCTTATGGGATAATGTTCTTTACATTTTGGTACAGCACCTTTCATGCCAGGAGAATGTCTCAAAGCTCTTCACAGGATTTATTGTAAAGTGCAGTGAATGTGTTTTGAAGTCAAGACATATAAAGGGATACACTTCTAATGTGATTGCTGTAACTGAAGAGGATATTATTTATATGTAAGCTATGATAGTGAGTTTAACATTGATGATATTCAAAACCTCATTCTATGTACAACCACATCCAGCAGGCTTGATGTTTTGTGCCCTAGCTTAAGGCCTTGAGACCGATTGTGGAGTCTGGAATAGTTGCTTGGCAGAGATGAACTGACTCAGCATAGATCAGGGATTGAATCTTCCCAGTTTGTATTGCTGTTTCTCACTGGTTAACCTCGCAGTGTAGTTTATCCAGTGAGTGTATCATTGGCCAGGACATTGGAGGGGGGAGGCTTTGAACAGAATTTAATAATAATCCTTGCATTTGTAATAGCACCTTTCACGTCTCAACACTTCACAGAATTTACTGTAAAGTACAGAGTACTTTAAGGTACAGAGTTTTTGTCGGTGAATTTAAATAGCAGAGTGAATGAAATACAGCTGAGTTTTTAAACTGCCCCATGTTTCTGTGTGCTTGCTCAGGTTAAAATTTTCAGACAGCATTGTGAAAATGCTGATGCTGTTTGCCATGGCTGTGCACCGTGAGGGATTGAAGGTTTCCACGAACGAAGCTGATGTCCGAGTGCCGGTGATGGTGTGGGGGGCTTGTGCTTTCACCATTCAGTCCATAGGTACCCAGCAGCCGCTTGCATTTCTCTTCAATTTCCTTGATTGAATACCAATAGTAGTCCTTTTCTTTAAATGTTCAAGTTTACACCTTCACATTCTGCTGTAATTCATGAAAGAAGCTCATTTAGGAACAACTGTCCCTATTGGAAAAAAAAGTCAACTAGCATTGATTCAAGATTTGTGCTTGATTTTGTAATTTATAATGTCACAATATCTCGAATGCTACAAACATATGTGTTGACTGTTTTATAGGAGAACACTAAGGCTAATATTCTACAAGCAGATCATGTATAATCCTTTTATAGTTACATAAAAAACACTGAGTAATGTTAGAAAATAAAATCAGCCAAATCTGCAAGGAAATAACGCTAATTCCTCTAACCAGATATCAGACTGTTTTATTATAATTCGTTCGTTATTCCCCAATATCCCGATGGGTCAGACCAAAGGCCGGTACAATCAACAGATCTTATAACAGAATAACACCACTATAGATATCTCGAGTTCAAGAGTTCAACACTGTGTCTTTCCAGCACACAAGCTTGATTCTTCATGCTTTCAGTCTTCCTGCTTACAGCTTTCAATCTTCCATCTGATATCCTCAGTCTTAGTGTTTCCAGCTTTCAGTCTTCCATCTTTGTATCCTTGTCTCCACGACCCGGGACGGCTCCATCTCCCATATCCTTGTCTCCGCGACCCGGGACGGCCCCGTACACAAAGTTATCGGAACTCTTATACCAATATTCATCCAATCATGGTGCGGATATTAGATCACCCGGTCGAAATCATGCTGGGTTCACGTGAACACCTCATGGGGTGTACGTGCCTCACACACACAAACACACTGTCCTTGAGACAATCCGTTATCTCGTGTACGTGTAGGGAGTTTCAGTCCAGCTGCCCACAACACACTTAACTTAAAAGTTAACCCGTTCGCAACATCTATTATGATTCTAACATTATACAAAAAGTGTAAATTCTAACAGTAATATTGGCCGGGATATTCAAGAACTCTGTTCTTTGACAACATCTTCAATGCCCCCAGTCCCCTCTCCCCGCAAACCACCAGAAAAGATAAAAAGATCTTGGTTTAACCTCTCATCTGAAAGCCACCTGAGCCTAGAATAGCCTAGTTGACACCCAAGTTATTAATTCAGAGACAAGAGTGCCACAAACTGAGCCAATCCATTATAAATAAATCTCAAGTGGAAAACGATAATACTTTCAACAATACGTCATTCTAAAAGAATCCATTGTTGTCATTTTTTAAAGTTAGCTTTCTCCCTCCTACAGAAAATAACCTTAGTGAAGAAAGCAAGCCTTTGTTCGGATCACTGCCAGATAGACAGGTACTGTGCAGTCTCTATCTTAAATGCTAAGGTCATTACCTACATTTCTTCAAAATTTATGGTGAATAAAAATTCTTGTGAGAAACTGTAAAATGGGGAAGCATTGATTTATTCAGATTTAAGAAAGATCTGGGTTTTCTCCTCCCTATTCTGTACTGTATTTCATATAAATATCACATTTGCTGATTGTGAAGAATAGATTATTATGAATGAGTGGCATCTGATTTTGTTGTAGGGTTTTAGCCTTAAAGCACTTTTGCAGTTTGCTGCTTCTCAGAGAGTGGTGACATCACCAAGAGTTATTCAGAAGCACTTGAGAAGATTATTGTCGGGTGAGTACAAATACACTTTCTCTTACAAACTTAAAGTATCAACCTCAAAGATTTTCAAAGTGTAATGGTTGTGCATTTTGTTGGGATACACAGAAGCCAATTTCAACATAGCAATGTCCCACAAACAGCCATCAAATGAACGACTAGTTTTATCTGAGGCATTTGTTTGGTTAGCTCTGACAAATATGGAAAGTCTACCCACGAGTCCACCTGATTGAGTCAGGCTGGTTGTGCTGTCATCAGCTGTGCCCCAAAGTACTGTGACTCGCCTGGCTCAGGAACTGGCTTTCCAAGACCGCCACGGAGGGTTCAATTCGATTCCAACATTCCATTGTCAAGCTTGGCGCCTTGGATCCACTTCATTTCTGAGGAGAACTCCTTTCTCTTTTCGAATGGTACCATAGAATCTTTAAACACCTGAACTGTCAGATGAAACCTTGGTGTAACGTCTCATTGCCTCTGACAATGGAGCACACCCCCAGCACTGAGGTGCCAACCTAGACTAAGAATTCAAACTTCCAATGTGGGCGTGACAGCATCTGCATAAAAGCATCTGCTGAATGTGTCTGACACTAAGCAGATAAAAGGACAATATGTTGAGGCTGCAGCCCACCCTTTGTCTCCTGTTAGGATACGCTGAACAGAACAGTGATTCCCTAAAGACATCCTACTGTTGCAGTTAAAAGGAAAAATTGGATTAAAAGATTATGCCCATAATAGGATATGCATATTACTCAAATATACACAGCTTAAGATTTAGCCTCCATGTTATTACCTGCTTATCAGGCTCCTTTGTGTAGAGTGTTATGCAGCAGATCTTTCCTCAGCTCTCCCAAAGCAGTTGTTAAAAAAAATTCAGCAATGCCTTGTAATTGTTTTCAGGACAGAAGCAGGAGTTAGCAGCTTCTAACTTTTACCCACTCCACTCCAGAAGCTGCTGATCCACACTGGATGTATAGTTCAATAGTACCTATTGTGCTTTGCCCATTTGTTGGTTGTGACCCTAGGCAGTTGACAGCAGCTATATTTGACTGTGGGGATGTCACTGTTAAGCACAATTCTAATATTAAAAAAATCTTTGCGTATGTACGGCACCTTTCGCATTGGGAGGACATCCCAAGTCGCTTCACTCTGGAGTGGCTATGTATTTGTGGGCGAAAGTGGCAGCCAATTTGCTCACAGCAATGTCCCATGAAACTAATGACTGGGAACAACTCCCCTCTCTTTACGAATAGTGCCATACTGGAGTGCCATTCTACCCTCAAACAACATCCACATTTGTATTTCTTCCCGTTACCCATTTAGTAGGTCAGGGTATGCACATAATTTGAAAGGTTGTTTATGTTTAATAGTGAGTCCAACCACCTCAATGAGAATAATGCGTCAGACTCTTAACTCTTAGAGTTTACTTTTCACACGCAGAAGTCATTGAAAACAAGACTTTTCCTGGTGCTGTGAATTGATGCTCATTAATTCAGTCCAATTATAATAAATAAATGATAATCCTTGCATTTTTCTATAGCGCTTTTCACGTATTCTAGACGTCTCAAAGCACTTCACAGAATATACTGTAAAATGAATTGACTGTATATTTGTGGGCAAAATGCGGCAGCCAATTACACACAGCAGTGACCCACAAACAGTCGTGGATTGAAGTGACCAATTTTATTACTGTTATTTTTTTTCTTGAGAGATTATTATCAGTTGTGTGGTAGGTACGGAAACTTGCCCAAGGTTTTGCGCTGCCGGGAATCGAACCCAGGTCTCCCACTTGCGAGGCGAGCGTACAGGACACTTAGATTTGATTAAATAAATAAGCATCCTTGTTTAAACTATGTTTTTTTTAAAATTCTAGTTTTTATGCTTGACACGAAGGTTGAAGACACCCAGTCAATTCTGACTATTGACTTTTTCCACCATTTGGTATGTTTATGGATCAGTTTTATTCTGCACAATTAGTTGAATAGATTATTTTTATCTGCTGGATTCATTAAGTTGTAAAGCAGTAACGCAGATTTACTAAATTTGAATTGTATCAATGCTTTTGATATCTACTCTTAAAGTAGACTGTAGTGTTGTGCACCATATTGTTCAGCAAATTGTATCTAATGTTGTTTAGGTGAGTTCGGTGCTGGCATTTCCTTCGTTATACTGGGAGGAGACTGTGGAGCTGCAGCCCTCAGACATCAGCAGTACTTTCAATAACCTCTACCTCTTCCACCTGATAACCATGGCGCATATTGTCCAGATACTTTTTACCTCAACCTCGGGTCAGTACCAAAACTGGCAGCAAAATATCAATTCGACTAAATAGGAGCTACTGTTCGGGAAATCATTGTGAAATGTAACTGTCCGTGCACTATCTATACCCAGACTTCCCTATGGAGCAAGATGGAGAGGAAAGTGAGGAGGCCCAGTCAGCAGTAAAATTGTATGAAAAGCTTCGAAAGTACACAAGTGGGTAAGTAGCACTAGATAAATGTTTGCCTAATGTTATGACACATAAATCCTGATTTCACAGCTCATTCTAAGCTTTCAGCCTTTCTGCCCCCACCCTTTGCCCACAGTCCGTTTGCCGCGACCCCTCCCTTTCCTCCTTCAAGGCCAGTCTGAAGATTTTTTTTTCTTCGACAGCGCTTTGGATCACCCTCGTACCGCCATCCTCCCTGCCCTCCACCCCTCCTGATCCCAACCCCCACATCCTTGACTGTCCAGCGCTTTGGGGACGTCCTCCCGACGTGAAAGGCGCTATACAAATGTAATTTGTTGTTTCACACTCAGTAGCTTAAGTGCTGAATCACTTGAATAGCTTATGAGTTCAAGGGTCCAACCTTGAGTATGTTTTGCTTTTGTCCATCTAACCGTTGGAATTCTGATCTGTATAGAGATAAGTATTTGCGACGTCTCAAAGGTGTGATAAGTGCAATATCAAATGCAAGGATTATTATTATAAGTCTGCTTTTTAATGGATCTTGGAGTGAGGGATAGAATTGGTGGCGTAGATTTCATACCTTTAAATCATAATAGCTCCAGTTACCAGTCGTCATTGTCTCGTCAGTGGAAATGCTGAGCAGAAGTCAGGCTGATCTTAATGGGATATTGCAAAATCTGAGGCAATCAAATCAGTTTGCCAAAGGTCTAGAACTGCTCCAGAGTGGTGATTGGGAGAGAATAAATATGTAAGATCTCGTGAACCTTTCAGTTATTCAATTTTTAAAAATTTTTTTTTTTTACCATTATCAGAAGCTGGTCTGCTTTTTTTTTCCTGCCATAAGTTTAGTGGTGCTGTGAATTCAGTATTGATTCTTTATATTTCCTCTTGTGTGTACAAAGAAGCATTTAACTGTAAAAGGTATAGTTGTAAAAGCACGCAGACATTGACTTGTACTTATTTCTAGTGTTTGTTTCGCTTGGACGTCCTCCCGACGTGAAAGGCGCTCTATAAATGGAATCTTGTTGTTGTTGTTGTTTCAAACAAAGTTTGTGATCAGTATTGATTTATCTTGAGTGTAATCTGAATTGTAATTATTCACCAGGGCTTTAGAAAGCAAACCCCATGGCTGGTACCTTTGGAATTGTGTGAAGTGTGGGATAACTCCATTCCTTCGATCTTCTGCTTTGTTCTTCAACTACTTGCTGGGAGTGCCACCTTCTAAGGATCTCTGGAAAGGTAAATGAAGAGAACCTGTTACGAGCATCAATGTAGAGAAAATCACTATAAAAGGAGTTAGTTTGCATGGAATCGCAAGGTGGAGTTTTGGTTGATGGGATTGAGATGTTATTCAAAGTATCATTAAATCCTAAAAATGAATTGTCCTTGAACCCAGCATCACATTTTCTGAACTTTATACCACAAGCATCAAAGGGAAAAACATCAGTAATATATTCCATTATAAATACACTGGTGAGGAGATAGCATAGGAGGAAGAAATAGCAGCCTACATTCACAAAAGGACAGGACATTTAAAATTTATCTGTGGCATTTTCGAGGCACACACGTAATGTAGCTTGTTTCACAAGGAATCATATGATGAAGCTGTCCTTTTTACAGTCATTTTAATCTTTCTACATTCCATGTGGAGTGTCAAAGAATTTGCTGAAGGAAGCTCATGAAGGCCTCTGGCCAAGGCTGTGACCCCCACAGTGTCCATTTAAAAGAAAAACAATTGTTCAACTCACATCACAATCTTTCCTCCTAGATGCTTTGGAAGGGCAGTTTGAAGCTCTGTGTTACTATTTTGCTCTTCCTTCAAACCTCTTCAAGCTTTTCGAGGAATACGAGGATACGATGTCTCCTTTACTGCAGAGGTAATTATCATTCTGTCATAGAATATCTAGTAGAATATTAGGTGAAGGAGTACATGAATTGATCATTATCAGTGTCTGCAACTTCCCTCTGGTTAGGAACATAGGAATTGTTAGACGAAAGAAGACTAAGGTCAATTTAATCCATCTTCCACCATTCTGGAAGTCACATGGCTACAATAATAGTCATTGACACCAATTGATTCTGTATGGATTAGTCTACCAACACCATGTAAAGCTTTAGTTTCCTTGCTTACTATTGGGGATGTGCTTGCCTATTCTCCCATCAACAGTAAGAATAAAATTGGAAGGCCTACATGAGAAAGCTATTATGATTTAAAGGTATGAAATCTACATGGATATCGACCTCTTGTACTGGGGAGTTCAAAGTATGAATACATTTCAGACTGACATGCTCTTTGAATACAAATAATGACTTGCCAGAACAGAATTGTGTGAAGGAAACTTAAAGGAATTAAATGGGGTGGGGCTCTCTCACTACACGTCCCCATATAAAAACACCCATTTATGGTCATTGCAGGTGGTGCTCCGATTCTTCAGTGCAAAGCTTTCTCCGGGGAGAAAGAACAGCCATCAGGTAAGTCTTGCTGCCTCCATATTCCTTATGCTCCCTTCTTTGAACACACACATATAATAATATATAGTATAATAATATGTATTCCACCAAATATTCTTTGAATATTCAACTTATTCAAGACTTGACATCAATAGATTTTTAAAAACTAAAGGGATTAAGGGATACGGGGATAGGGCAGGTAAATGGAATTAGGTTCCAGCCATGATCTTATTAAATGGTGGAGCAGGCTCGAGGGGCTGAATGGTCTACTCCTGCTCCTATTTCTTATGTTCTTGTATTCTTCTGCATTGGCAGAATCCATATTCCTCTTCCTACTTCTAACTTCCTCTCAGTACGTCTAGCACTCTTCCCACTGAGTCAGAAGATTATGAGTTTGAACCCCCCACATCGGAACTTGGAATTGCATAGTCTAAGATGACACTCCATTGAAATAATGGGGTATTTTGGATTGTCGGAGGTGCCGCCCTTCAGACGAGACAAGGTCCCGTCTGCCTGTTCAGATGGACATCAAAGATCCCTTGGCACTATTCAAAAAGAGAAGGAATTTTTTTCCCCTGGTGTTCAGGTCAACAAATTACACCCAAAAAATTGATTATTCACTCCATGGCTGTTTGCGCGACATTGCTGTCTACAATTGGCTGCCACGTTTCACTCACAAAATACAGTCAATCAATTTAACAGTATGTCCTGTGAAGCACTTTGAGACCTCTCAACAATGTAATAAGGTGCTATGTCAAATGCAAGGATTTTTATTTTCTGAAAGGTTTCCAAGGGAAAGAAAACAGTTGATGGAGCTTCCAGAAGACTACAGTTGTCTTCTAAATCAGGATTCCCGATATAGGTGAGATTTAGTTTGAAATTTGTAGCCTTTTTGTATGATTATATAAACTTAATCCATTTAAAACGTATTATGTTTGTGTGAAAAAAAACTAGAAAAAACAAGTTTGGATAGCTAGCACAAAATATTGCCTTGACATTTCTTCATTTTGTTTTATTCCATTTACAAAATCAAAATTATAGTCTCAATGGAAATATTGAAAGTTGTTTCCTTTGATGTCGTGACTTTATTAGGCGATAAGACCTGATATGTTACTAAGTTGTTTGTGTTGCATGGCATTGAAAATGTTTTAACTATTTTACCCATTTTCTACAATAGGTGCCCCCATTCCACCGATGATGAGACAAGAAATGCAGTCCTGTGCATGTTTTGTGGAACAATGATCTGTTCGCAGAGTCAGTGCTGTCAGCAGCAAGTAGATGGAAAAAAGCTTGGAGGATGTTCAGCTCATGCTGTGAAATGTGGATCTGGACTAGGAATCTTCCTCAGGTACCTCATCGACCTCGCTGATGTGGAATTACACAGCATTTTAAAATAGATTGGCAAATTAACAAAAATACATTTACTAGCTGTACCTGGTCGGTGAAATATGCATTATTGTTAAACTTTTGAGAAAGGATGCACATCAACACGTTTCGCCCACAAAATACAGTCAATCCACTTTACAGTATATTCTGAGAAGCGCTTTGAGACATCTCCAAGACGTGATGTCAAATGAAAGGATTATTATTTGGCAGTGGTAGTTTCAGTGGAACATAGGTATGAAAAGCCTGTTCCACCTTATTTTTCCAAATATCCATTTCTTAAATTTAAAATTGCAGAATACAAAGTACTGTATGTACTATAGTCCATGTATCTGGGAGTACATACTGTGGGCTCTCATTTCACCATATCTTGTCATTTCTTCTATTAGGATAAAGGAATGCCAGGTGCTTCTACTGGCAGGAAAAAACAGAGGCTGTTTTGTACCTGCTCCATACTTGGATGACTATGGAGAGACTGACCAATTGCTCAAGTAAGATTATTCCAAGTGAATTTAATTCCCATTCGCTTTTGAGTCATATGTAAATGTGTGTGTGTAGTTTCCAGGTTTTCTAAAGGATTTGCAGAGTGCTTGTTGAACATTATACAGTTAGTTGACTATTGAACAGATAAGAAATCAAATTCTTAAGTCTTCAGGGTATCTCATGTTTTGTTGTAGAGAAGATGCACTTATGGGGGAAGGAAATACATAGAATTGCATAGATTGAAAAATGGCCATTCAGTCCTAGTCGATGCTGGTGTTTACCCTTGTACCTCTCTATTCCCTTTGAGAACCTATTTGAGAACCAAGAATGCATTGTTTGTTCTTTATTTTCCTTTGATTTGTCTCTGGGACAATGCTTATCTGTGCGGATGTCTTGCAGCCCCCCATGGATGTTTCATTGACTTTACATTTACTTGCGTGATCCCTTTTGGTCACTTACCTTCTTAAAATGTTGAAAAGCTTCAGAAATCAAAGTTTCAAATATACTCCAACTCGTTTTTTTATTAATCTTGTTTTTTCGTTTCCAAACCCTCCCTCCCCATTAAAGGCGAGGTAACCCATTGCACCTGTGTCCAGACCGTTACAGGAAGCTCCAGCAAATGTGGAGGCAGCACCGAATCCTGGAAGAGATCGCGCGTAACCAGGATGCCAATCACATGGCCTTCGCCGTCGATTGGCATGAGTTCTGAATGACTGAAGAATACCACTCTTGTGGGCAGCCATATCCCAAGGCACTTTCGTTGGCTGTAGATTCACGTCGAGCGCTAGTTTTCCCAGACCTGATTAGCCGTGATGTGAATTCATTCTTTTTTTGCTGTGACTATAATCTAGTTTCAGTGCGCCCTGTCTATATCTACAGTTAATCTAACATCTGTTTCGTCTCAGCCTGCCTTTGCTGCCCCAATCAATAATGAAAACTGGTGCCCAACAAAACAGACTGTGATGTTGTGCAGGGACCTGAGGTAGAGGGATGGATAGAAAATAATTTTAACAAAGGGACAAAAATATACATTTTAAGAGTTTTTCAACTTTTTCCTACTTTTTTTCTGCTACAGTCTCTGCCGCTACAGAGGGTCGGACACTCCAAGCCATAGACACTTATTTATACATTGCTCACAAAAAAACATCATTTGGGGTGCTATTAGCTTGTGCTCATTTTGAAGTACAAAGTGCAGTTGAAGTTGTCTCAGGCACATGTCTGCTTCTATCATCTCTGTGGGAGTATCTTTAGTCCACAAGCACTCCACCCCCAATGGTTTATAGATTGTATGATACATTGAACAGCAACAAAATAATTGATGTAGTTTTAACTCAAGACTAATTCAAAGGGAAGCCACCAACAATTCAGGATCTGGATACATTCACTTTTAGTGTAATTTAGTATCACATCACAATATCAGTTCACATATGAGGATTCAATTATGTTTCTGTTTTTTTGTTATTGAGTTTTGTGTGAAATTCTTAAATTCTGTCTGGAAGTGTGGTGTCTAATTTACTCCCCCAAGCATCGTCTTGTAGAGCATGTAGTTAATGTGGAAATATTATTAAAGCAACCTTATTTAGTTATTTGTCTTAAGTTCCTAAGTAACAATGATTGTAAGGGGGGAGGATATCAAACACATGTCTCTTTACAGTGCTAAAAACAGCAAGTCTGAGGCTAATACAATACTTATGATAGAGGACTCCAGTTAATTAATCAGTACTTCAGTGATGATGTCTAGTGGAAGACCGGTTGCAACAGGAATCGGTCTATGCTATATATTGCATTGGCTCCAGAGTTCCTGTGCTGTGAACTGCTTTGAATTGGTCTATATAATAGTGCCTCCAACAGCACCATGTTGTGATAAATGTTGCTGGGATTTTATCCGCAGCATTATTGAATACCAATTGCTTTAAGCCACTATATTATACAATTATTATAATAATATAATTATGCTGCATTGCTATCTTTAGATAGGAAGAGTAAACATTATTACTCCTCTGGTGAGTACATCACACTTCTGGTGGGTTCAACCATCAGCAGTTTCAACAGGTATTACTTTGTCAATTTTGCAAGATATAAGAAAAACCACAGAATGAAGAATTTTCCCAAGTGCTGCAAGCATGTTGATTTTATTTTCTGGGGTGGGAGGCGGGGGACATCAAGTGTTCACTTGCTTTTTCCTCTCGAATGTGTTTATTTGCATATGCAAAGTGGTGAAAAATTCATCATTGATCTTCACAAATGTGTGCTGTTTGGTTTTCAGCAATTCCAGTACAGGACTGATTGTGAAGAGCTCTGCAGCCTGAGTTGCAGTAAATCAGTTGGTAAACACTTGGTAGGACTGGTTGGCTGATTGTATGTTGTAATAGGTTTATCCTCCAACCACAATTTTCACCTTTTTATTTTGTTTGATGACAATATTTTTTGTTAGTGGCACTGTATCTTTTAGTTCCTCTTTGCACTATTCCACAATCTTAAGGGTAGCCAAGAGACCTACTCCCAAGCTTCTGTTACTCGTGCAATGGCATGCAACTGATCTGGGTTCATTTATTAAATACATTTGGTGACTCAATCCATGACTGTTTCTGAGATATTGATGTAAGCAATTGGCTGCCGCGTTTTGTCACAAAATACAGTCAATCAATCCACTTTACAAAATATTCTGTGAAGCGCTTTGAGACGTCTCAATGACTTGATAAGGCAACAGCGACAAAATTACATTTGTATAGTGCTTTTCAAGTCGGGAGGACGTCCCAAGGTGCTGGACAGACAAGAGTTACGGCAAGGATTATTATTATTTCCACTGGGGGAGGGAATGCTTAAAATATTCCATCATTCTGGAGAAATAGCTCCACTGCATCAAATCACAACCTTGACAGAGTGGAAATGCATCACCTAGGTGGAGCAGAGTGTGAAGAGTTCAGTAAGTTGCCGTTTGCAAAGAGCTCAGACTTTCATTCATTGATCCCTTCCTACTGAACAAAACCTGAAATTCAGCACACTTTTTTTGCTTTCCTTAAAATAGACAAGTAGGTGTCAGAGAACTGGGGAATGCAGAAATATTATTCAAAAATTGAAACTTTTTTAAAGCAAATGCAACTATTGATTCTTTAGAATTAGTTAGATCAAAAGAGAATAGAGGTACTCTGGTTGCATTTGTTAATAACCAAGATCAGGGCACAGAAGAGCTGATAACTGAAGAAAGCTATCTGATAGTCTTCTAAACTTTAAATGCATAATTTCTTTTTTTTCTGCGTGGTTGGTTTCTTGAAACTTCTATCAAAGAGCACATTAATAAAATAAATCAGTTATAATTGTACTTTTAAGAACGAATTGTAGTAGGTGCTTATGCCACAGTAATTATTTCTTGTTCAGGTATTCAATGCCATGGTGACATTTATGAATGTTGTCTGAACTTTAAAGGGAGATGTTCAAACAGAGTTGTAGCTGAATCAAGATGGGTAAGTTAGTTATCAGCTACAGTGCTCCAGAGCACTCGCAATTCAAAATGTGGCCAAGGTGCCTTAGGTTTTAGGTACCTGATCATCTTAGTTGAGTAGTCTTTGTCTTTCATGGGCATCTGAAGGAATTTAGCATATTATGTTTTGGGTGTAAAAAATCAGATGGGTGAAATTTGAGATATTTTAAGTCTTAAAACTCACTATTGCTAATATACCTAGTCCTCCAAAGTTGACTGTAGGATGCAGCTGGATATATTAATCCATACCTGTTGTTTGCTTCACTGCTAACTAGGATATCCATCACCTTGTGTTACCTCACTTAAGTGACTATTATTGACTATCATGGGTGACCTGTGTGACTTGGTAGTAAGTATTGGCAGGCAATTTGACAATGGGGAGTTTTCTCAACATAGCTTGATCCTGTGAACATACATGTATCCTCACTTGAACAATCGGCATCGAGAACCCTGGCCTTTTTCCATTTGTTAAAACCAATTGTAGTTGCCTTACTGTCATTCTTAATTTCTAAGGTTTGTTTGGATCTACTGCACTTTATTATTTTTTCAACTTTATTTTCATAGCCATTTGAACGGTTCCTGTGAGTCCCTCAATGAGTATGGTTAGTTAAAGGGCCACTGTATTATGTGAATTTACTCGTGTGTTTCAGACAACCATGTACCAATTTATGCATTCGGACATGTGGACGTGCAGAGAAGAAATGTAACTTTTTTGGGGGTAGAGGGTAGACGGTAAATACACTTCTACTATGATTTGAAGCTTTGCTTAATATTAACCAATTGAGACAGAAAGCAGAGGCCATGAGACAAAGATTATCGAGCAAGTTCTGTGTTACCGAAAATGAGCTCAAAAGAAGTCTACAAATTCAAGGTAATACAATTGGTTTGATTCATCCTATTTCAGTTAAATGTGATTCACCCCCACCACCCCCAGTTTACCCCCTCATTGTTGACCACGAGTGACCACTGAGCTATCATTGAATGACAAAATTGAAACAAAACAAATTCTGCTTTCCCTTTGAATACAGTTGCTTTAGTTTCAAGAGAGATTTTAAGCCCATTTTAATTATTAATAGTGTACTGTGCAATTCAAGTGACTTTGTCTTGACCTGCTATAACCGTCTTTAATGTAACCAATTTTGTTTTAATATGCCCCACAACTTCTTTGGTATCTCCTTACCTAAATTCACACTCCAGATAAGAATCAATCATCGCTTTTGCACATTGATTAGGCAATGTGTTGTTGATTTACTATATTGGTGTTTTACAAGAAATAAATTTTACTTCCATTTTAAAATGAGTGGCTTTTCCTTTCTTGGTTGATTTCTATGCAGAACCAGCACTATTTTCTTTCCCCATGTCGAATTACAAATTAAAACGATTGGGTTCATGTTGTAAGGTCAGTCTTCAAATAGTGGCTAAAATGTGACATTCCACAGGGGAGGCAACAGGCAATGCAGTAAATGCTCATCTCTTTCAGCAATTTTCCTCCCTCCGATTCAGAAGCCACATGGAAAGTTCCTTTTCTCCAAGTTCCAGGATGTTTGTTATTGTTTTAATGTAGTTCTATCAACCAGCAGTCTTTTGACCAAAGAATCTGGTAGGAAATCTGTAAATTCATTCTAGTTATTTCAAAATTATATAAATTTATGTAGTTATCTCTTGAGTTTGGGGACATTATTGTATCTTTGTTATTTTAGCTAATTTTGCTGTGTTTCAAGGCACACGTCTGCAACAAATTGGTGAGAGTATGAATTCACTTAATTCGCATTGCTTCTCTATTGCATTTTGCAGTACAATAATCTGAAGAATGAGTTTATTTGGGATTTCAGTGAAGTGCAATCGTAGATTTATGACTTTTGTGCAGCTGCTCTATAAATGGGTCAAATTTTGTATTTGTCAATCTAATTGAAAAATTCTATTGTAAGATAAACCAATTTACCACCAGCGATGGAGGAGGGGGAGAGAAACTTGCATCTTTCTCTTAAAAAATGCTAGTTTTGGATAGGAAATGACGATTCCTCTTCCAAAACTAACATTTTGATAAGCGAAATGATTGTGGAGGCCTATACCTTAGTGATTAGAGCACTCACTTCACAAACGAGAGGATATGGGTTTGATTCCCGGGCAGGACGAAATGTTGGGCAAGTTTCCTTACTCCACATGCCTATGTTTGCCTTGCAATAAGAAGGAATCCTATTGTTAGTCAATTGGCGGATCACTTTTCCGGATATAATAATCCCTTAAAAAAAATCAAAAAAATAATAATTTGGTCACTCAATCCATGACTTTGTGGGACACTGCTGTGTGCAATTTGGCTAAGTGTTTTGCCCCAAAAAGTACAGTCAATTCACTTTTTTTCAGGAGAGCATTTTTAATCTATATAATGCTAGTTTGAAGTGCTGATAATTTTATCAACTCAGCTCGCTGAGAACATTGGATGCCCTTGGCATGCCTTCCCAATGTGAAAGGTGGTATATAAATATAATTTTTTGTTATTATTGGACAGATGTATTAGCATCAATATTTTCTACGACCAATTCAAACCAATGTCGAACTATAATGGAATCCAAATGAAATCTTCAAAATTCTGAAAGGCTTTGAGAGATAAATGGTGGATAAATTATAGATGGGATTGTCACAGGAAGCGTCATAGCAAAATTAGAACTTTTTATGGTTGTTAAACCATGAAGTGCTTCAAAACGAGTGACTATTGAGGCTGAGACCATAACATTTAAAAGGGATTTAGGTGGATGATTTAAAGGGAACAATATAAAAGGGTACATGGGGAAGAGAATTGGGATTAGAGTGGCAGACTGGATTGATTTCAAAGACCAATCTGGGGGTTTGAACCCAAAACTATCCAACTCGGGGAGAGAGTAGCCTAGACTGACACATTCACATCTGACCTTTCACAGCTCAATGCAATGACAGAATTCAGCAGCTAATCCTTATCTGTTAATTGGAAGTGACAAAGAAATATAGGCGGTCGTGTGGAGAAACTAGAACCATTTTAAACTCAATGGACTGAATATTCTCCTTTCGTACTCCAAATTCTGAGATCAATAACTGGTGATGAACCCTTAAGCTTTAAAGCAAAATTAATGATAGACTAGGTAGAGAATAGTGCAAGGTGATGCGTAAGGCAGGAAGAATTGTCCACATCGCACTTACAAAGCAATTTTGTAATGGAACTTTACATTCAATTAGAGGAATTAAGAAACCGTCTTCAGAGCAGTTTATCTTTAAAGAGGATAAATGTAACCTGTGCCATTGCAAGTGCTATTTTAGTGAACATCATTTTTGACATTTCATGTACACGGTGATGTTTTTGATCTTACATGGACCAGTAGTTCTGGTTATCTTCTATTATAGGTTCCTGCATTCATTCAAATTGAAGTGATTGAGTTGTGATGTGGATATCTTAATCTTTTTAAATTTCCGGTCAGAGATTTTGTCAGTACCAATTAAGGATTAGCCATTCAATTCCGTCATTCCATTGAGCTATGTTATATAGAGTGATAAGGCACAGAAACAGCCATTCATCCCAAATAGTCCATGCCGGAAAGCACACAGATATGCCAGTCTAGCTCAGTTGGGTAGCACTGGGTTACATCTGGTTAAGACACAGCAGTTGCTCAATAATTGAGAGGAACATTGATGCTGAGAGTGACACAAATATTGAATAGAGAGAACTGAGAAATGTAGAATGCACAACAAGTTGCTATTGCTACACAACTGATTTTTGGTGAAGTTGAAGGCAGATTCTGATTAAATAATCAGGCGTTTAAAACCCTGGATACTTCCTTTTCCCTCTCGTATAACTATGATGCATTTGAATTAAGTGAGAGCAAAAAAAAATGAACGAGAACACATTTGCCCATACTTTAATGGCAAAAAATTATTAAAAGGCATTTTTAAATTTTGGTTTCACAAAATCAGATTCTTTATGAGTACAGAATTTCTTTGCCCTGGAGCAGCCCATATTTGCAAAACCCCCAAAATGCAACTTTTCCCATAAAAGTATAGAGACTTTATATTTTATTACACCCTTAGAATACATCATTCATTTTGAATGAGCAAAAATAATGACAGCTACTGATGGTTCAAAATGAATGGCCAAAACTCCTGAATTGTCTTCTGATGGCATCTGTTTCTAAAAGTCAATGTAAACCTCAAAGTGAACCGTATTTAATTCCCATGGATACAATTCTAGCCCTTTTATAGAACCCAAGAGGTTAGAACAATACATTTGCTTTTCTCAAAACTTTGATTTCCATTAAAAAAATAATAGGAAATGCTGAAAAGGATGGTCATGAGTCATGGCCTGGATTTTATACTGAAGGACTGACTGAAAGACCACGGATGGGAGAAAAATCAACTCGGAATTTCCATTGAGCATAATGAACACTGCTAAAATGATGGGGAAGGAATCACATTCATTTGGGTAACTTGTTCTATAAACGTGTGAAAATCCTCTAAAGTATATCTGTCTGATGCATAAAGGACTGAAACTATTGCTTTGTTTGGGATGTTACTGTACACACTAGAATGAAACAGTGTGAGAATCCCATTCTTAGAACTGATGTAAAAAAAAAATTCAATGTGACTACGGAACTAAGGAGTAAGTTAGTCAATGGATTTTGGTGGGACTTTGTCAGGTCCATACTCGGCTGTATTGTCGTGTATATTGAGGTCTTCTGCCCCGGAGACGGTGGATACCTGATCAACCTTATGCAGGTTTTTCATGATGTTGAAATTTGTTCTGGCTGTTTCCACAAAGTTGTTCTCCAGCAGCCAGCCCTCTGACTCACACTCAGGGTCACCCTGAAGGTGCACGTTTTCCATTGCAGTCTGCAGGTATCTGACACCAATAAGAACAGAAAGCTACAACAAAGCAAAAAGGTAAGTTAGCTCAGATTCTCTTTCTAATTCATGCAGATCTTGTGTTTCTCACCAAACACATCTTAAACTCTAAAATCTGGATTCATCATTCCTAAGGTAATACTTTAACGGGTAGTCCTGTAGCATATTGGTTAGAGCACTCGCCTCATAAGCGAAAGAACTTGGGTTCAATTTCCGGGCAGGGCAAAACCTTAGGCAAATTTCGTTACTCCTCATTTACCTAGCAATAAGTTGGAACCTGGTTGTTAGCCAATTGGCAGATCTGTTTCGGCAGGGTAATAATCCCTCCAAAAAATAAATACATTTAAGTCACTCAATCCATGACTGTTCATGGGACACTGCTGTGCGCAATTGGCTGCTACCCACAAAATGTACAGTCAATTCACTTTACAGTATATTCCATGAAGCACTTTGAGATGTCTCAACGACATGATAATGGGCTATCCAAATGCAAGTATTATTATTATTATTATGAGTTATCTGCAATTCCAGCTGATCACAAAGCAGAATCTTTTTCCTAGTACGCGATATAAAATTAAATGCCACCAAAACACAGTAAATTATTTTTAAAAAATTGCTCAAGTGTCCACGAACCATAAAAAANGTACAGTATTTTGGAGCTAAAAACAAGGCAAATTTATTTTCCGAAGCCCTTTTCGCCAGTCTCCCCAACTCCAACACTAATAAAATCCAACTAATTCAAAACTCCGCCACCCGTATCCTCACCTGGGTGGGACAGATTAAACGAGATCTTAAATCTGTATATGAATTGTGCTCTATCTGACTTGTGACCACTTGGTACTAATACATGGAATCAAAAGTAAATAAAAGATCCCATAACAGATATTGTCCATATTAATGGACACATTCAGTAGAGGAAATCCTTTCGATAAACCAAAAGGACACATCTGAAATTTCTCCCATAAGTTGTTGCTCAACCAAAACATTGATGCCTTCAGGTTCTCTTTTAATAAAATGCCCATCAGGAACTCAGTCCACACAGGTCATAGGTTTTCTTTTACCATTAAGGACCATGAAGAACGAAGAGAAACTCTCCAGGTAAATCACTCCAATTGAATCTAAAACATCTTGCACAGGCCATTTATAGAGCAGTATAGGCAGAGACTTTAGAGATTTACCTTCTCTCCTGGGTAAGGAAAAAGACAAGAAACCTAAAAGATTGGTGGAGGTGGGGGAGGAAGGGAAATAGTAATTCCAATTTTATATAAAATGTAGGACTCTACTGAGTTGGTTTGTGTGTATTTAATTTACCTCAAAGAGCCAGATGATGAGGGCCATGAGTCCTATTGATTGCATGATCTCAGTGTAGTATTCCAGCAGTGCTTGCCTGCAGCCTTTCATCCATAGGTTCAGCTCTTCGTTCTGGTAATCATAGTTGTAATAGGCCGAGCTATCAGTCAGATTATACTGTATACAAGCCCGGGGCGAGTTGGGATTGCAGCAGCTGAAGGGGACACCATCCACGAGGAACTTCCCATCTATGTTGCTCTTTAAACGGCTGCAACAAGAGAAGAGCTGACATTGTAAACACTTAACACTGTGTTAGGCACCCACTGAGGTACCTGTGCTTTCATCTCCACCAAGACCTCAATTTTAATATTTGACATCCAGGAGATGATTTAAACCACACAGAAATAAATCTAGCCAGTCTCCAATACTGACCTGTCCGCTCCTTCTGCTCAGCGGACTCCAGCTGGCTCCATGTGCCCTGCCCCACCATTATTGGTCAGGGCTTCAGTCTTTATGCCCCTACCCTTTGCAACTTCATTGGCATTTCCTCCTCCCTTGCTTCCTTCAAGGCCATTCTCAATATCCTTTTCGACTGCGTCTTCAGTCACCCTCCTACCCCTGCCCCCCCACCCCTCCCATTCGAAACCCCCAGTTCAGGTCCAAATCCTTGATCGCTGTCATTTCCTCTTCACCCCAGGGTTTCTTATTAAGGGGGCAGAAGATTAAGAGCAACATTCAGTGGTATAACTATCTGTAATTGATGACAAAAATGCTGGGACATAATTAAATAATCTTTTTAAAAACACTTTAATTACTTTGAACTCGCTCTAGGCTGACCCTCCAATGCAATGCTGAGGGAAAGTAAAACATTAAATGCTGTTCAAAGATGCAATCTTCTTTTCAGATCCTGAGCAAATTATATGATTGCGATCCTGAAACAGATCAACTATTAGCTGTAGTTGAGTTGACACAAGGCTATTAAAGACAGAATGAGAGTCTGCTGGGGCACAGAGAGCAGGTAATATTTGTCAAGAAGCATTGGTTTTCATACATCTTTAATGTATTTTACTTTACGGGTAAATTAATGAAAATAGTTGTTTATACTGTCAGATTATTTATTTTAGCCTCCTTGGTGGGTCCGTGAGTTCATCCATTAAGAAGCTCAACTATATATACAAAGCAGAAAAAGCTTGGGTTCCATTCACAGTTTGTGCTGTGTTATCTGATCTTAGATGGGGTGGTATTTAGGTGCTACAATTGGCCTCAGTGCCTAAGGTTATATAATTCTGCTCTTTATCACCATCCATTAAGTGTAGGTAGATGCCAAATAAGAGCAGGATTGGTGCCAACACACACTATCTGGCTCAGTTGAGCAAGATCCCAGAGAGGGGGCCTGTGGTGCTACACCCCAATAAAATAAAAAATAGACAAACACCTTCGAATTATACGAACAAGAGAACTACACTGACAGATAAGAGCAAACAAGGCCATTTAGCCCAAGAAGGCTGCTGGGAATGATCTGTGGGAAAAGCAGGCTTGATCGCCCAATAACATCTTTTTTCATCAGATCAGATGGGCCAAAGGGCCTTCCTCATGCAAACTAATCACTCTTGTGAAGTTTCATAAATTCTTAAGTCTCAATGTAGCACATTCAACAATAAGACAGGGGTCAACAGAATAATTTAATCACTTCAATGGAGATAGAAGGTTACAGAGTCAAACTTTGCACCTCTTCAGAAAAAGGGCAAGAAATCTCAAGTCGACACTTGCCTAAGCTTCTAACCTCAAGATTAGCATGGGGCAGAGACCTCTGAGCATTGTTTGTCTCCTGATAAGGTTTAGAGGAAGAGAATTCATTGAACATTTCACTCCTAGAATGTACAACTATCACTGTATATTTCATATCTATTCAACAATAGAGCAATAATAACTTAATGCAGTGCCTTATGTTGAAATATCTCACTTGACATTGAGTCATTTTGAAGTATAATAACTTATTATTTAGGCAAATGATGCAACTAATCCTCATCAGCAAGGTCCCACCAACAGCAACAAGACGAATAGTCGATCTAGGCATATTTTTGTTAATTTGGATGAGGGAAGAAAATTTGCCGGGACACAACAGGAGAACTATTCTCCTTTTTGAAATTGCTCTGTAAGACTATCAAACATCTAGCTGCACCACAAGCAGATTGGATCGCGGTTTAACAACAAGAGCAACACCAACTTGCATTTATATAGCGCCTCTCAAGCAGGGTAGCGTCCCAGAGCTCTTGATAGTGGCGGAGCACAACACTGAGCCAAGGGGAGGTGATTGTTGGCACGGTCGAAGAGGAAGGTCTTCAGGTGCGAACTGAAGATGGGAAAGAAAGGGGCAAGTCGGAGCGAGAGGAAGAGTGTTCCAGAGTTTCGGGACAATTCCAACAAACAATCCCACAGTACTTTCTAGAGTGCTGCCTGAGAGATTATCAACTTAAATCCCAGGGTGGGACTTGACCTCACAACCTACTGACAAAACAAACTGACCCAGAGGCAAGAGTGTTAGCAAAAGCCATTCAACACATAAACTCGGTTTGCATATTCACAACAAACTCTGATTTGACCGGTCAGAAAAGAACAAAAAAAAATCAATTATTATTTTTCCAAAAAAAAAACACCCAAAGCTTTTTAGGTTGAAGCTCGATGTGCACCCTTAACTCCCAAATATTTGTTACTACATTTCCACTAGAGGGTAATAATAGCTTCAATTTTTTAAAAAATAATGATTTGCTCACTCAATCCACGATGGTTTGTGGGACACTGCTGTGCGCAATTGACTGCCGGGTTTTGCCCTCAAAATATAGTCAATTCACTTTACAGTAAATTCTGAGAAACGTCTTGAAGGCATGATAAAGCGCTATATCAAATGCAAGGATTATTATTATTACTTACTCTTGGACATCTTTGGATCTCATATCCAAATAACGGTTGCTAATCCACTGGATCTCAAACCAATCCCTGAAGCCTTTGTTCCCACAGCAATGGAAGTCGATCTGCAGCTGGTCGACCGTCCTCTTTAGGAAACATCTCCCCGGAGTGTCCGTATCCTTGTAAAACTTCATGGCTTCCCTCAGCCCCACATAGAGAGACTCTTCCAGCTCATTTCTCATCGTGTAACACATCAGAGCTCCCACCAGGATGCAGAACGTGAAAAAGAAAGTGCAGATGATGTACGGGAGCATCACCATCTTCCAACGAGAGAACTTGTTGGTGTCCGAGCAATCGTAACAGATTTTCCCTCCGAGGAAGTTGATGCCGCATGCGATGGTGCCCACCACTATCAACATGTGGGGGACCGAGTCAACCTCTCGATTGGCCATCACCTCGCTGCGCTTTCGGATCTCAATTTTCAGAAAGAGTCCCATGCTGAACAAAATGACACCGGTGATGACGGAGACCCAGTTTAGGATCCACAGCACCTGAGCCAGTCTGTCCCTCTTGTCTTTGGTGAATTTCACTCTCAGAATCGCCATGGTTCAATCAACATGAGAGGCAGCAGGAGCTCTGCAAAAACCATAAGCTGATTAACTTTCTTCCAATCTAGACAATTAGAGGAGAGTGCCAGCGCTTCGGATTCTTCCCCTGTAAAGAAGGCAACAAGAAATTAATTACTTATACTATTTTCAAACGGAATTAATGCATTGAATGAACCCTTTTTGAAACAGAAAATTTGGTCACTCAATCAATCCATGGCTGTTTGTGGGACACTGCCGTGAGCAATTGTTTGCCGTGTTTTGTCCACAAAAGTATACAGTCAATTAATTCACTTTACAGTATATCCTGTGAAGCGCTTGAGACGTCTCAACAACGTGATAAGGCACAAAATCAAATGCAAGTATTATTAGTTGTAAAAAAAACTATCCAGAGAGAATTCTTTAGCCATCAACTCACATGATTGCGCCACCTCTTTCCCCTTGTGTAGCGTATATTAAACTTTCAAAAGATGATGGTCAGAAAAAGAAAAAAGATGAGTTTGAACAAAACTGATGGCCTCTGCTGTCCTTCAGAGCCAGCTCCACTTCATTTAGGTGAAATGTTTGCCACAGAAAGTTTTTAAACAGCAAAAGCACAGCTAATTTACCATTGTGAGCAGCCTGGCTGTGGTTCAGTGGAATGAACGTTGCAGAGCAATGTGATTGATGCCTCGTCTCTGAAATTGACACATAGTGCCCAGGGCAGGCTGGAGCAGCTCTGCTCAATGCTAATCATTGATAATGGATTTAACTTGAACATCTGCTGCCGCACCAGTAATCCTGTAGAAACAACATGCAACCAAACCAAACCCTGCCACACAAAAGTAAGGCGTTTTTAAATTTATATAAAATAAGACTGAAAGTTAAAGCAGAGTGGACTAGTGATGGTCTGGTGACCTGTGGAAAGGCACAGGATAGTTCAGGATAAGGAAACACTGAGTACCGTCCGTGTGATAGAAGAAGAAAATCAAAGAGCCTGCCACTAGTCTGCTTTAAGACTTAATTCCTTGAAACTCGCTTCACTCTGACAGACAGCACTCGCCTATTTAAATGCGTGAGCTTTTCAAAAGCGATTGGCAAAAATCTGCCTCTGTCCCAGTGCCCCCCCCCCACACACACACATGCGTAACTGTTCATGTTTCAATCTATTTTCAGCCATTTCACAAGAAGGGTTCAAAATGAAGGAGGCCCTTCAGCCCGTTTGACCAAATTGGTCCAGAAAACACATTCTCCCTTCCTCCCTTTCCACCATCAAACTGTTTCTTAAATTAATCCAGTGACGTGGCCTCAACCACCCTTCCTTGGTAACCTGTTTCTGCCTTTAATTACAAATGTAATTAAAGGTAAATGTGATTCTATATTGTATTTATTTACCCTTGAGGTAGAGAAGTATTGTTCTAAAATGGTCCTTTGAAACTGCTGAATTTGTGCCCTCTTGCATTGCTGTCTTGACATATCTGGGAGTATTCTGATTTTACTTGCTCAATCCCATTTAGCTTCTTTTATACCTCTACTTTTGTACTTCTTTTGTCCATTCTGACATGTCTCTTTCCAAGGCTGAAATCTATACTGCATATGACATGCAAGGATTGTTTATTAAGTTTTGATTCTCAAGGCATACAATCTGGCAGAATATTCAGCAAATGTGGTGATTGTAGGCATACAGGTACATTTTATACTCAATTTAAATACAAATCACATTCTAAACATAGTTTACCTGCTGCTTGTTCTGCTACTGCACAGAATTTAACTACAGGTTGTGAAAGAGTTCTCTATCTGTTGAGTAAATAAATAAAAGGATTGCTCATGGTAACATGGAAGAAGGATGGAAACAATAATAATAATAAAAATCATCTTTGCATTTGATATACCGCCTTATCACGACATTGAGACTTCTCAAAGCACTTCACAGGATATACTGTAAAGTGGGTTGACTATCTTGTGGATGAAAACGCAGCAGCGACTTGTGCACAGCAATTTGCCACAAACAGCCGTGGGTTGAGTGATCATTTTATTTGGGGGATTGTTGGTCAGGACACCAGGAGATATTCCCTTCTCTTTTCGAATTGTGCCATGGGATCTGTAACATCCATCTGAACAGGCAGACTGGACCTTGGTTTGATGTCTCATCTGACGGAAGTTAAATCCCAGTTCCTCATCACGCATTGATTCATGATTAATCCTGCTCCTTAATAAATTGATGTAAAGGTAAGATGTCAGCAGCATTTAAAGCTGCATCTTAAGCTTGGCCCCAGGCAGGGAGGTGTCCTGTATCTCTCCTGTGTCTTGATGCTGAACGGGTTTACCACCCAAGAACAGCAGAGGGGGATGGAGAGTAATCCTGTCTAATTCCAGAGAGCAAGAAGTGCTCAGCAGTGAAAATAACTGGCTGTTGGTGATCACAACCATCCTGGGATTTGGGGATAGACAAAAGATGAATTTTATGCATCTTCCACCTTGTATAACTGTTCCCTCAGAATGGAGTTAGCAAGTGCTGGATAAAGGCTTTACAGGCTTTACAAATGTGTTTGAACAATTTTGGGAGAAACTGCTTGTAAGTGTCGGTGCAAAAAGAAAGGGGGTGGGGTGGGGTCGGAAGTGGGGAGAGAACTGATGACTAGGACGATCGCCTCAGATGAGCCGTTTGTTTCTAGCTCGGTACATTTTTGGAAAATGGGTGGACTCCCCTGGGTAGCTCCAACACGGACAAAGCAGGGAAGCGGATCACATGCCTTCGTCAATGTAAGGGTTGACATTCCTAATTTTCCTTTCCAGGGGAAGTGGGGGGGGGCGTGGGGGGGTGATGGGGCAATATCCAGACCACCTCCTCACTGCCTCCCATTTAATGGCACTGTGTTACTGGGAGTTCTTGTCTCATTGGGTAATTTACTTTTGTTACAAGGATGTGCTGTGACATTGCCGTGTCCAGTATTCATAGATAATAGACGCTTTATTGGCTAATGTTCCAGGCATGAGAAATTGCAAATAACAACTGCGGAAGAAAACAACTGGACTTGTAAACATTTTTATGCAACTCTTTTCCAGTATCCAGTACTACAATTCACATTTTTAAAAAATCTGATTATTTTAATGAAATTCTATTTTTGACATAAAATAAATTTACAGTGGCAGTTGTGTGGCTATAGTTATACTGTATTATTGCTAGGTGCCATTGCTAGTAATTTGATTCATAATAAACAGCACTACATTCATTTACTTCCAGGGCTTTCTTTGATTGCTAGAACAATAGGTGGATTTTGTGCATTTCACCTTTTATTCCCGATGGAATAAAAGGCCGAGTCTCAACACCACCACTAAGTGGCACTGTCTCTCTGCATAAAGTCAAAATTAATCTTCAATCCTCTTGCAAATGCTCTTGAGTTTTGTTCAGTGATTCAAAATCTTTTCGACAGCTCAATACTCTGCCAGCATGGTGAAGGTGATTTAGCACCAGTTTTGTGAGATTGATGTTGCCCAGTGATGGATCACCAGTGCAAAACTAGTTCTACAGTGTCTGTTAACAAATATCAAAGACTTTAGATCATAAGAACAAAGCTTGATAGGCTGCAAAGGACCTTTGCACTCACTCATTGTGCTGCAACTCACAGCTCGATCCAATGTGTTATTTACTTTATAGATTGTAATTTTGGATGTCTGGCCCTGACTATGAGATAACTGTCAGCGCATTATAATGCAGTAATCCTACTGAGGTTTAGGTGGATTGTACAGATAGCCATGACTAGCTGGGAGTGAATTACATGGAGAATACTGGGTAGCTATCTGTTAGATAACAGTGAACGGCTGGGAGTAATTATGCCAGGGATGCTCCGAAGGCTGTCAGTGCATTATACTGAAGTAATCCAATAGAAAGCCTCAGATGGAGTCATAAACTGTGAGACTGAAACTGGCCTGGTCTGTCCACCAGATGAATTCTGATATTAGATTACTGCTTGTAATTTACTGGCGTCTAGAATTATTTATATGGTATCGAGGCCAGTGAAAGATTTTTTCAAATGATATTGTTTAACACCACATAAAGGCCTCACAGGATTAAATACAACTTACATTTATATGGCACCTTTCACATCAAAAGTACATTTCAAACACCTGACATAGCTACATGGGCACCTGAGCTGGGGGTGGGACTCGGGGTTGGAGAGGGGACACAAGCAGTCATGGAATAAGTGACTAATTTTTTTTAAGGGATTATGTCTGTGTGTCAGCACTGAGCCAGAGAGAGCGTGTGTGTGTCTGTGTCAGTGAGAGAGAGCAGCGCGATCCAGGTGGTGGGCAACCATCTGATCTCAATCAGTCTGTCAGCCAGGCACAGAGAGTGTGTATGACTGTGTGCGTCAGCCTGGCTCAGTCACTCTCTCTCTGGCCTCTGAGTCAAGATATTGTGGGGTTGAGCCCCCCCACACACAAGGCTGTGAGCAATGTGAAGCAAGGAAACTTTTGGTTTTGCCCTGCCCGGGAATTTAATCCGGGTCCTTTCGCTACAGGACTCCGACAGAATTCTGGACACTCCAAGTCCAGTAAACCGAGAGGTTACTGTATACCAATTCCCTGCTCTCCCCATACGTTTTTTTTATATGGTTTCCCTTTAAATGTTTATCCAATTATTTGCCTTTTAATATGATCTGAGCCTCAATAGCCAGTTGTTACAAAGTGTCTGTGCCTGGATACCAATCCTGCGTCAACAGATCAGCACAGAATGTGATACAATGAAATACAAATTTACATTTATATAGCATCTTTCATGTCCGGATATCCCAAGGCACTTCACAATACTGGCTTGGCACCCGAGCTGGGGGTGGGAGCCGAGAGGGGTGGGCAGGAGAAAGATGACCGAAAGATGTCTAAAATGCACCTTGTTGCATGTAATCTTGAGATTATAATTATTATCGTATAATAGTATAACTATAGTAATCTGACAGGGTGGTGGAAGCAGGTTCAAAAATAACTTTCATGGGGAATTGGATATATGCTTGAAAATGAAA